TTTAGTTTGTGAGTATTATTCGTGAAGATAGTTATAACAAATGAAATGTTTATATTGCATCTCTAATGTAAAAAAAGTTTGTTTTTTTTAATTTTAAAAATTCCTTATATTGGTACTAAACTGTGTATTCTTCAATTCAAAGATTCAAGAAGTACTAATTTTTACAACTAAAATTAAGAATACAAATGTTTAAAGTCAATTTTTAAGCTGTCTAGTCTTATTTTCTTTTGATAAAATACAAATTCCTATGCAACAGTCATGATATTAAAATAATAATACAATTATAAATTATAAAAATGCAATAATCATAACTTTAAAATTTATTTATTAATTTTACTTATTTTTCACTTGAATTGTTTAAATAATTGCAGCTTAGAAAAAAAATAAATCTTGATATATATATATATATATATATATATATATATATATATACATATATTACACAATACAATATTACACATATACATATATTACACACACATATATATATATATATATATATATATATATATATATATATATATATATATATATATATATATATATATATATATATATATATATATATATATATATTACACAATTAACCAGCTAGTCAATAGAAAAGTTAAAATTCTGACTAAAGATCCTAGTTCGCCAACATAAAAAGATGTACTGTAAAGGGAGTAGAAGGTATAGTTTCTCTCTATACACACACATGCATGGGCGTCCACAAGATTTTTTGATGTTTTAGATAAACCACTTTCACACCTTGTGCAAACTACAAACTTAAGTATGTTTATACTTTTGCCATTTGAAGAGGCCTTGCAAAAAATTGTTATGGTAGTAGTCTGGGAACAAAAAAGCCCTCAAATGCTTGCATCCCCTCCTCTGCCTAAACGTGAGGCACTAATGTAGTAAAATTTTCCGACCCCCTTCCCCCCAAAAAATAAATAAATAAGGGGTTGTACATTTTGCATCGACATTTACATAGACATTTTCTAATTTACAATAATTTTCAACAAAATTTAAATTCTGTCGATAAATTTGAATTTAATTTTAGATCGTTAAGTTAAAAATTTTACTACAGTAAGTGCCCTCATGTTTGAGCAGGGGGGCAAGTGTTTCAGGGCTATTTGTTGACAGCTCTCCACCATACCAATAACTAGTACCAGTGCAAATGGCTAATAGGTCAGAGACCCCCCTCCCCTCAAAATAAAAAAACGTGTCATTAGAGTCTCAAAATCTTCCTTCTCAAAAGGGCATAAAATTTGCTGCTCCTCTACAGCACCCCACCCCCTCTAATTACATGGTATGGGTAGCCTACACTTGGCACTGGGCTTTAAGCTTTGTTTTCAATATTACTCTTTTCGCGTGAATCACTTTTTACGGACTTACTAAAGAGGGGTGCCTGAAAAAAATGTCTACCTTAAGTATAGTTAATTTTTATTTGATGCGTCTCATTAAACAGAAAAAGTAATTTTAAAAGATCTCCGCTGTCACTACCCATAACATCATCCACTCAGCCAAGCGTTCTCTTCAATATTGCAAGATTTAATTATATTTAACTTTATATTTGAATATATTTAATGATGTTTTTTAAATTGGAATCCTTTGCCGCTAACAAAGGTCTTTGGGGTCGTATAAATACTTTATATGTTTTTCATCCCCCGCCTATTTTTTTTTTTTCTTAATACAAATTTTTATTGAAATAAAAAAGGTGGAGGAGGTACCCTAAATACTTTTAAAGTATCTCGGGTATCTCCTCCACCTTTTTTTTTTCAATTAGGGGGGAGGGGATGTTTGGAAATGTACGTACTTTTTAAGGGGGTGGGGACTTAAAAGTACGCATGGCAACAAGGGGGAGGGAGTGTCAAATTTCAGAATTTTTGGCGTACGTACTTTATGGACGACCCCTTAAGAGTACTTTTTCTAAATCCTCTACTTTTCATACTTTGGTTAGTAGCTGATAGATGCCCTTGAAAATTAGTGCTTTGGAATTCTCTCTAGTCTTCGTGTTTTCTTGACTTACACATTTCATAATTTTTTCAGTCCTCTATTTTTTTTTGGCTCTTTGAATCTTTTTCTCACTTTTTAGTTCTTCATTTTTTTAGTTCTTCTTTTACTTCTAACTTGAATAGTTGTAGCTTGCAGCCTTATTGGAAGTGTATTTGTTTTAAAAATTTTTGTAAGTTAAAGTTAAAAAAAATTCTTTTCTTTTTACTTTTTGTAGGAGCCACCATTTTTCCTGACAACTTTAGAAATTACTTTTTATAATATCATGTATTATCAAATAGTACATAATACATAAGCATTATCAATTAAGTATTTTTGTAATTATTTTTATGATTGATATTATATTTAGAAATAATATATTTATTAGATTTATTTATAATCACCAAATTCAGTTTGACAAGAGTATTAACAGCAGTTTAAGAGTTCTCAAAGAATATTTTTGTAGTGTTTACATTTAAAACTCTTTAATATAAATGTATTTTAAACATGAAAAAAAAAGCAAGCTAAACTGTTCTAATTGTTGTCTTCACAAGTACGCTTAATGATTTTTGTTAATAAACAAATCTCTTAAATGTGTCAAATTTACAAAATATGTTCAAAATATTTTAATATAAGAGTTTGCTAAGCAAAGATAATTTTATGGAAACCATATATACAATTGATTACTAATTTAGTAATTGATTGTATATATGGTTTCCATAAAAGGTCAGTAGTAAATGATAATCCAAGAAAATGTAAAGAAGAGGACTCAGTGAGAGGGTTGCCTTTTTAGGTTGCATTATTATATAGGAATGTCATTAGTATTATAATATTTATTTGCATTAAATAACTTATGTTTATTTACTGCAAACAACTATAAATACTTTTGTAAATTGAGTTTTGCTGAAGTTAAAATTTACAAGCCAATGCAAACCGCAATCTGTTACAAAAGTGAGATCAGATTCAAGATCAACTGCCTGTTCTAAGCGATAAAAGAAGACTTTTTGTCAAGACAGTCTACTATCATGGTTGCTGCTCAAAGGAGCTATCATCTCTAGTTCCATCAACTAAAATTTATTCTCGTTTGACTTGTCATTCAGCAAAGTCTCATTTGTTTACTGTATCTGTCCCTGCATGCTCTAAAAACTTTTAATTGTCTAGTTTTTTTCCCTGCACTTCCACCCTTTGGAACTCTCTACCATCTTCTTGTTTTCCTGTCTCATACAACCTACAACATCAAGTTTTCTGTCAAGCATTTCTTTGCTCTATAGCTTTTTCTTTTTTTTTTGTTTAAAGTAAATCCTAAGTTAATATTGGTTCCTTTCAACCTTGTTGGGAGAAAATCAATTTGATTAGAAATTACATCTAAAAGAGTTACAGTCTTGGGAAAAAGGAAAATAATAAAGAACAGAAAAAAAGGTGATGGAATGAAGAGGTGCTAAGGGGAAACACATAAAAGAATTGTCAAAGTATTCAAACCTGATTTTACAACAAATAGGTGAATTGATGAGTATGTATACTAGGGTGGAGTGATTTTGGAATCAAAACTATAGAAACCCTGGAGTAAATAGATAATCAAAAAATAATAATAAAATGTATAACATGTACTTGCTAATAATGCCTGGAAAATGGCTGGTTTACAAAAATGTACATATATTAAGACATAATCTATTTTCGAGGAAAACCGCCATTTTTTGATTTTTTTTCAAAGTGGGCATGCGCATTGCGCTTTGTTTTGTTATTTTTAGATATTTTTTAAGTTATAATTTATAAATAGCAAAATAATTTATAGATAAAATGCCTAAGAGCAAATCCAGGAAAACTCATTTAAAAATAGTCTGAAATACGGAGGTCTCCCATTAGAAATGCCTTCAGCTGATTTTCCAATATTTTGTCAAGTAATTCAGTTTTTTTATTTCTCTGAAAATAGTAACCAAAATATTTCAAGACAGAATCTACTAGAAGAGGTTGAGAATTCTCTTAGGACTTTGTGGAGTAAAGTAAACCCATGTCTTCCTTTTTTTTTTTTTTATTTGTTATTTTAGGTGCCCCAAGAAGTCCTAACAGTCTTGTCACAGAGCACCACGGAAGTGCATTTAACCAGAAAGTTCATGCCTCCTTCCTTACCGTGACGCAAAATATTTCCAAAGCTCGTTTCAAACCTGGGTCTCCTGCTTTAAAAGCAAGCGCTCTAACCACTGCGCCACGGCCGCAGTGGTTAGAGCGCTTCTTCTACTTCAGAGAAATTCAATCTTAAGAAAATTAAGAAATCTTTTTGAAAGAGTACCGAGGACGTTTTAAATCTAAAAGTAAGGAGTATCAAGATTTGATTTTAGATAAACTCTTTGATATTTTATCATGTACTTGTGAATTAGCAACTGTTTTATGTAATGACAGAGATGTTAAGTGTAGCATCATTAATTGTCAAGTAGAGCACATCTGGTGTCTTTGTAAAACTAGAAAGGTATTTGATTAAATTTTTTATATATTATTGTATATATTGGAATATTTGCTGTTTTATTCTAAAATTATTTGTACTAAGAATTTTTTATTATACTTTGATTTCACTTAAATCAAAGTGAAGTAGTTTATTATTTTCAAAAATGATATTTTAGGTCCCTTCTGAAGACAGGGCATATAATCGTGACCAGAGAAACAAGATTGGTCCTAAAGGTATTTATCAGCTAGGAAAGGCTGATTTAAAATCTGATACATTTACTCTGGAAAGGTTAGTTCAAGTAGAGCTTACAGATCATGTTGAAATGCCTTATGCCCATAACTCATTATTGATTCTGGTCACAAATCTGAAGATATCTGGTCACAAATCTGGTCACAAATCTGAAGTTTCAGCATCCGATCCAGATGTTTTGGTAATATATATATATATATATATATATATATATATATATATATATATATATATATATATATATAAATTATGTTATAATAGTCTACAAATGAGTGCTCAATGTTCTTAAAGCACAGAGCAATAATAAATTAGTAAAAACACTTATCTAATTTTTTTCTTAAATAACTTGTGTCACCATCAGCAAGTTCATCAGGAAGGTTCCTGGCTTTAATAATAGAATGTAAGAAAAATATTAGATGCGTTTTTTCTAATTTATATATATATATATATATATATATATATATATATATATATATATATATATATATATATATATATATATGTATATATATAATACACACTTTGTTGAGGCAATGCTAAAACAGCTTTGTTTTAACGTTTCTTAAATGTCGGCCCTACAAAGTTTTCTGCTTGGGATATATGGTGTTTTTTTTCATATTTCAATACTAAGTATTTTTAAAGATAAATGATTCTGAGGAAGAATATAATCCAGTAAAAAGTTCTCAATTTAATGAAACTTGATAGATTTGCAATGAAGGCTGTCAGGCATATAAAATTTTTATATATATTGAGTTTAGATGAGAACTTATATACTATATTAAAAGTGTGAAAAAAAAATCATAAGTTTCACCATTATTCATCCCCAGTAAGTTTTTTTTGATGTAGGAGAGTAGAGGGTGAATATAGAATGTTAAGGGATCACATATAGATAATATACTTTGCTTTTTCAGTTTTGTTTATTTATTTCATAGTTTCATATTTTTAGGTATGATGTCTCATCTTGTGCTGCAGCTGCACTAGCAAATGCTCTTCTAAATTAAGAAATCATTAAACATTTTGACATTAAATTTTGACATTTTAAACATTAAACAATTGAGAGGTAAATACTATTTCATTATATAAGTTAGACAAATATGAATATATCTCTTTATTTATTAGTTTATATAAATGCTTGTTTACAAAACTTTTAATATGATATTTAGCTAAATATAATACTTAGAGTTATTTTATAGAGAGAAGAAGAAAATAATGTCAAGATATGGTGATCAACATGATAATAATTTAAGTAACTTGGTGTGTTAGGGTATTGATGGTAAAGATGTTAAGAATGTTCTTCAGTTTAAGGATGTCGTTGAAAATGGAGAAACTACCTTGTCGAGAGTTACTGAAAAAGATCATCATTTAACTTTTACTAATGAAAATAGTTTTAAAAATGGTTCATATCTCTCATAAAAATCTCCCGTCAAATGGTGCAACTGGTTTGCTTCAAAGAGTAATTGTATATAATGTTTTGAAAGAGTATGATAGTTTAAATTCAGTACAAGTCCTTCTTCTTGATAAGACAAATGTCAATACAGGTTTCAAAACTGGAGTTGTTGCATGTTTAAAAAAGAAATTAGAAAGAAAAATACACCTTATCAGATGTACTTTGTACATGTACATCGGATCGCAATGAACTTCTGTTTCGAAAAGTATTCAAAATAGTTGATGGCAGTTCAAAGAGCCCAAATAATTTTTTTAGGACCTATTGTAAGGCAAGTTTCTATAGATTTCCATCTAAACCCACAAGTGAAGTTTACCAAAATTGATACTCCAGTAGAGATACTAAATATTCCTATTGAAGTGATAATGATTTAACCACGATCAAAGACTATTATTTGAATATTATCTTGGAATTTCTAAAGGATTTCTCAACACTATATTTTTTAGAAGAAAAAATGGTCTACTAAACAACGCAAGATGGTTGACTTAAGCAATTCAAATCATGGCTTTGTATACTCATACTGAAGCACCAAGTCTAGATCATGTAAGGCTTGTGAATTTTATTGTACAAGTGTATGCATACACTTGGTTTATTATCAAAAGGTCTTCTAAATTTATGGATTCTGCAAGTATATTCTTTAAAATGACAAAACAGATAAAGAAGCAAGATGAAGAAATACAAAACATTTGTTTTAAAAATGTAAAAAAAAATTCATATTGTCTATTGCCTGAGAACTTTTTATATTGTATGCTTAGGGATGAAGATTCTAACATAAGGGAACAGGCATAACTAGTCATTAAAAAACTCAGGACAAGTAAAGATAAAGAGTGCCGTGTTACAAATATTGCTAATGTTGACATAAACTTTCAAGCAACTTCTTGGATAGAATTAATTGACTTTAAGAAAATCAGTGAACCGGCATCAACAATATGGTTGAAGGATGATGAAATCAATGCTCTAATTGCAATTAAAGAAGTTCCGAACTTACCTGAATTTTCTTCTCATGCGCAGAGCGTAGAACGGGCTATCAAATTAGTTACAGAGGCTAGTCACCAAGTATATGGCAGGGTAGCTCATCATAAATATATTTTAACTAAACTAAAATCCAGGGAAATTCGACCATATTTTGAAACTAAAAACGACTTTGCGTTTTTTTTTTTTTAAATAAATTATGTTATGCATTTGATGTTAATAAAACATCTTTATATAAATGTACTTACTTTTTTCAATGCAAGCAATAAAATAGTGTGTTTAGGATTTAGGACCAATGCAGTAGTAGGGTAGTGGTAAAGTGTTTGACTCACATTTGCAAGGTATTTATTTTGGAATTATTTTGCATATATCCAAGCCTTTGGATATAGAAATCTTGATAAACACTTATATTCATCAATTTCAGTGTTTATAGTGTTAAAAACAATAAAAAAAAAAACAATTTAATAACATGTATGGATTTTGGTGATGGTTATCCATAGCTATTTTTATTACCCATTTATTAAGTTGATCACTGTTTTTGAATAAAAAATTAAGCACTTTAAGGTCATAGAAATAATTTTAGAAGGTTTTTCCAAATAGTGTAATGCTTCAGCCTTATATGAATTCACGATTGGCTAGATATATTATACCAAAAGGGTACATGTATCAATTATGTTTAAAGTATTTAGTCAAAATTAAATTGTTCAATTTACTAATCTTTTATTCATATCTGGTAATTATTAATTACTTACATCTTGGATAATCTTGAGGTCAAAATTACTCAAGCTGTTTGTAAGCACTTTTAAGACCTATATAACTATAAGTACTTAATCCTTAAGTATATAATTATATAAAGTTTTCAACTAATTGTACCTTAAAAAACTAAAAATGACTTACATAAGTAAACTTTGTAAGTTTAGTTATTTTTAGTTAGTTAATTTTAAATTAGCTGTTCAAAACTTATTTGTATTTTATATTAATAGATATGTGTTGTAATGAGGTTTAAAAACTAGCTAAAAATAAATTAAATGTTTAAATGCGTATATTGCTTATATACGATTATATTCAATAAAATTTTTATAATTTGTCATTAATTTATTTAAACATTTCATAATGAATAAATTTATTTTAAAAAATAAACTTTTAACTGGTTTGATTATTTTATTAACTGATTTTGTTAATTGCTGAAAAAAGTGAAAATTAAAAAAAGTTGCATTTTTTTGAAAAATTGCAAGTCGATTTAGCTTGCAATTTTTCATTTTGGAGAGTCGAAATTTTTCATGAGCTCACATTTTACCCTGTTGAACTTACTCCTGGGTTACTAAAGTTGAATTTCCATAAAAATTATGAAAATCACTCCACCCTAATGTATACCCCTAAGCCAAGCATGTGACTGTTAGAGTCTTTTCAAATCAAAGGATAATACCCAGCAATACTAAGACCAGAAAAAGGAATTGTAGAATTTAAATTAGTCTTTAAATTAATTCAATGTAGAATTTAAATTAGTCTCACTAACAGCAAGAAAATCTGGTGACTTTTGCAATAGGTAAGATTTTTTTTTTTTTTACATCTTCGTTTCCAACAAAGCTACAGCCATGTTGGAAGTGAAGATGTTAAAAAAAAAATACTATTAGAGTTGGAAGTTACTGGAAGAGAAAAGATAAAGGTTGTAGGGCAAAATAACGATTGACAGACCACTTAAAAGATTGCAAGTTATATAAATCAGGAAAGCAAGATGAAGGAAGCGAATTCCAAAATACTGATGTTTGAGGAAAAAAACTAGATGAATAAGAGTTTTTGGAGCACTTAGAACCAGTAACAGAAAAAGGATGAGGCTAAATTGAATGACAAGTAACACGAGAATGAATTTTAGTAGATGGCACAAGAGATTCTAGCTCTTTAGAGTAGCACCCATTATAGTATTTGTAGAAAAGAGAAAGAGAAGCAACATTATGAAGATGTGATAATGGTTGAAGGTTGGCTGCAAGAGCAGTTTAACTATGTTTACAATGCGTTTTTGCACCTTCTCTAAAAGAGAAAGCATAATTAAAAGATTTGCCCCAGATATGGCAACAGTATTCCATACAAGGCAGGATTTGAGATTTATAGAGATAGAGAATAGAATCTGAAGTAAGAAAGTGTCAAGCTTGATAATGAGATGCAACCTTAGCAGATGCTAATTTTGCAATCGATTTGATATATGGTATCCAAGAAAGATCGCAAGTAAGAGTTAACCCTAGAAGATGAAGGGTAGATGACTCATCGAGTACATTACCATTCATAAATATAGGAAGATCTAAATTATTGCAATAAGGATTGGCTAAAAAAAATTGAGTTTTATCTGAATTAAAGTTCACCAGCCATTGTGAGCCCCATGCTGTAGCAGAAGTGAGATCCTTTTCAAACTTAAATGCCCCCTCCAAGCAATCAGAGAGTGTCGGCTTCTTATCATGACAAGAATAAATGGTAGTATTATCAGCAAAAAATGCCACCTTCAATGTGAGAATAACTGGAAGATCGTTAATGTAAATTAAAAAGAGTGTAGGGCCAAGGATTGAATCTTGAGGAGCTCCTGAAGTTACAGGATATGAAGAAGAGTGCTGTCCATCGAGGACAACTTTTATATACCATTGGAAAGGAAGTATTCAATAATCTTTTGGATGTTACCTGATATACCTGATATATGACCATAATAAGAAACCTTATGGAGAAGACCAGCATGCCAAACTTTATAATTGCTTCAGAAATGTCAAGAGCAATAGCCTTAACCTCTCCACTTTTATTTAATGCACGATAAAATCTATCAGTTATTACTGTTAGCAAATCAGAAGTAGAATGAGAAGATTGAAATCCATATTGATGATTAGAAAGTAAGTTATTAGATTCAAGATAAGAGATTAAGTGTTTGTTAACTTAAGACTTTAAAACCTTGCTTGTGTTAGATAAAGACAAATGGGTATTTTTATAGGATATTGTTCATATTTAGTTTGCGTACAACAGTTAACAACTTTAAGCTTATACATTAACTTTAGTTATAAAGTAAATATTAATGAATTGATTTATTGATTTTTATAGCAATGCAAGATTAATCTTAACAGAAGGTTTAATTTCTGCTTTGGAGACAAAAAAGTATGACAGCGAAAATGGTCAGCCAAAATAAAGATTGAACTGACATAAAAGTGTAAATTAGACGAAATTAGAAAAGATGAATCAGATGCTCTCCAGATTTTTTCAAAATAGCGATGTCACTTTCCAGCAGACTGGAAAACAAGACTCTGATAAGCACTTGATAAATAGTTTTGAAAGTATAGAAGACAGCTTCGTAGAACACTTCTGCAAGACTATAACAAATATGTTTTCTGGACCACAAGCTGTAGAAGAGTCTAAGCAGGAGATCACTTTAGATACAGAAGCTGGGGTGATTCGAATGTCAAGCAATGAATCAACCTGTTTAATGGCTAAATCAGGTACAAACGCAACAAGTGGAATCAAAAGTTGATATTGATAAAAAGTTCTTAGCAAACAATTCATCATTGTCTTTAGTGAGTTGTCAAAGTCTGAACCATACAAGAGAGGTGGAATAAAAGATTTGCCTTTATTATTGATACTATTAAAGGTTCTCCAAAGGTCAGGAGAGCCTAATTTTTGCGATGAAATACGAGATTTCATGACCTGAGAATAGTGGGCTTTGGCATTAGACTAAACCTTGTTACATTGGTTTATAATAGTAATAAACAGATGTCTGTTTTGTGGAGAATTGTATTGCTGATAGATAAGGAAGTAACAGTTTTGATTGGAAATTGCAGCAGCACTATGTGAGAAAAACTATGAAAAAGAGTGAGGCTTGACCTGGAATCGTTGCAAGGGAATAAAAGATTCCATGCCTGACTAAATCTATGAAGTTACACAAGAAGCGCATTAATCAGCAGGAAGACAAATTTTTTTTTACCCAAGAGCCATCACAAAGAAAATCACAGAAAGAGTCAGTCAGCTTTAAGGTAGTTGTAAGAGGTACTATGATAGAGGGATTCTGATGATGAAGATGAATGAGATAATAGTTTTAGAGAGATCAAACTATGATCAGAAGTACCTAAGGGTTAATGTGGAGAGACTTAGCACTGACTAGGATCAGAACCAAGACATAAGTAGAGTAAAGAAGGTAAATGATTCGAGTTGTCTGAAAGACCATGAATATTAGTGGATGATGATGGTTTAGAGAACTTTGCAATGACAATAGTATTTTGTGTTTTATAGTTTTTGGTACTTTATTCATTTTTAAATTTGTTAAAGAACTTGACTCAAAACATAGACAGTACACTATTTTTCAGTGCACTGTTTAATAGCCCAAGCAATTGCCTCATCACTATTAATAAACCCTAAGCCATAGCATAGGGCTCTAAATGTGGCCTTGACAATGCACACCAAAAATAAAAACAGGGACACCACCCATGCACTACATGGCACTGTTAATACTTTGATATTTTTTAGCTGTTGATGGAATCAGTGTCTCTGAGAGCTACCACAGATTTTGGCAAACCTTACTATCAGTTGGCCTCAGAACCATAAAACTGAATTTTAGAGCTATTCCTCATTAGCAGATAGTAGAATGAGTTGCCTAGTTATAAAAACAGAGACACAAGAAAAACCTAGGCATTGAGTCAAGAAGATCCAGCATTCAACATTCTAAGCTGGAAACAATGTATTAAAATTACATCTGTGCCAGCCTAATAGATGATGAAGCGGTGCAAGGCTGGAATAACCGATAGAATCTGTTTACCTCTTAAGTTTTTGCCTAGGATGCCTTTTATGAGACAGTAGCCGGATGCATTTAACATCTGACCAAGATGAGTATTTTTATCAAGACACTATCTCAACCAAGAGCCCCAAGGCAGGGGGTGTTTTAAGTTAGAGTTAGATTTTCGTAGTATTTGCTTAAAAAAGCGTATCCTGCAAGACAGCAGGACATGAAGAAGATTGTACTGTGTTACATGTTACCAGTGCAGGATAACCTGACCTGACAGATAACTGATGGAAGGTTGCTTTGCAGAACATGAATGTTTGTATAGGGATATATTAAAACAGTTAGGTGGTGGGGACAGTTTTTTATTTTTAGTATTTTGAGTTACTTACTGGGTTGATTTAAATTTAAAGAGAACTTGACTTATGCATATATAGAGCTTGGCCTCCTAAGCTGTGTGCTATGTTGTCTCTGTCCTGCTAATTACCCTTAAGTTGTAAGATAGGATTCCTTATGTAGCCTTGACAATGAGCACTAAAAGCATTAACAGGGACACCATCCACGTGCAACATTTTTCTCTAAATACTCTGATATTTTGCAGCTTTAAATGGAATCAGTCTCTTTAAGAGCAACCACAGAGTTTTGAAAACCTTACTACTAGCCGACCTCAGGTTCAGACAAAACACAAACACACAAAAGAAACTTACGAGTGAGTAAACACAGTGCCAGAGGTTAAGACAGAACACAAACATACAGATAGTAACTTACAGTATGTAAGTGGCTATCTGTAAGTACTAAAGTAAATTGCAGGTGAGCTAACACAGCAACTATATAACCTCCAACTATATAAAAACCACACAAAAATAAAATAAAAATAAATAACCATTAATTTAAAAAAAGGTAAAGAAAAAAAAAGCATGACCGATACCAAATAGTACTGATGACATAAAGCACACACCTTCCAGCATTTGCTAAGTAAGTGAATCTCACAAGGCAGCAGGACATGGAACAGTTTACCAGTAGCAGGGTGATCATGAAAGCCATATACCTGACCTGATAAGCTATTTGATTGCTAGTGTGGCATTTTTATACATGTTTATTACCAGCTATTCACAACCAGTCATTCTGCAACAACTAGATAAGTCCAGAATTACCTCTCATGGTATTCTATTCAAAACTTTAAAGTTCACAAATTTTTTTGAGTTTTTTTGAGTTTTTTTTTTTAACATCTTCGCTTCCAACAAGGCTGCAAGCAACCACTAATTAGTGTTGGAAGTTACTGGAAGAGAAAAGATGAAGATTGTAGAGCAAGATAACGATTGACAGATGACTTTAAAGATTGCAAATTATATGAATCAGGAAAGCAAGATGAAGGAAGCGAATTCCAAAGAATTGATGTTCGAGGAAAAAAACTAGACGAATAAGAGTTTTTGGAGCACTTAGGAACAGTAACAGAAAAAGCATGAGACTTAATTGAATGACGAGTAACACAAGAATGAATTTTAGTAGATGGCACAAGAGACGCTAGCTCTTTAGAGCAGCACCCATTATAGTATTTGTAGAAAAGAGAAAGACAAGCAACTTTACGACAATATGACAGAGGTTGAAGGTTGGCTGCAAGAGTAGGTCCAACTATGTTTACAATGCGTTTTTGCACCTTGTCTAGAAGAGAAAGGGCATCATTAGAAGATCCACCCCAGATATGGCAACAGTATTTCATACAAGGCCAGATTTGAGATTTATAGAGATAGAGAATAGAATCCAGAGTAAGAAAGTGACGAGCTCGATAAAGAGAAGCGACTTTAGCAAATGTTAATTTTGCAACAGATTTGATGTAAGGTTTCCAAAAAAGATCAGAAGTAAGAGTTAATCCTAGAAGATGAAGGGTAGGAGACTCATCGAGTACATTACTGTTCATAAATATAGGAAGGTCTAAATTATTGCGATAATGATTGGCTGAAAAAAATTGAGTTTTATCTGAATTAAAGTTCACCAGCCACCGTGAGCCCCATGCTGTAGCAGAAGTGAGATCTTTTTCAAGCTCAGATGTCCCCTGCAAGCAATCAGAGGGAGTTGGCTTCTTATTGTGACAAGAATAAATGGTAGTATCATCAGCGAACAATGCCACCTTAGATGTGAGAAAATCTGGAAGATCGTTAATGTAAATTAAAAAGAGTATAGGGCCAAGGATTGAACCTTGAGAAACCCCTGAGATTACAGAATAAGAAGAAGAGTGCTGTCCATCGAGGACAACTTTTATACTACGATTGGAAAGGAAGGATTCAATAATCTTAAAGATGTTTCCAGATACACCGTAAGAAGAAAGCTTATGGAGAAGACCAGCATGCCAAACTTTATCAAACGCCTTAGAAATGTCAAGAGCGATGGCCTTAACCTCTCCACCTTTATCTAATGCGCGATAAAACTTGCTTTAATGCGCGATGGACTTGCTTTACAATAAATATTCCGTCTGTTGTCCCCTTTTTTGACCTAAAATCAAACTGTTTTTTGATGACAAATTGAAAATTGATTGTTAATTAACCTAAAATCAAACTGTTGTAATAAATTGAAATTCTTTTTTTGTTATATCAACTTTTTAAATGGAATTTTACCCACATGTTCTATTGCATTAAAGAAATCTGACATTCACTGAACATCGAAATACCCAGAAGTCTTTAACATATCAGCCAATCCTCAATTAGCAGCATTGTATAACTTTAACACCTCAGCCATCTTCAACTAGCAGCATTGTATAACTTTGCCCTACGAATAGCTCATTTCACTTCACTGCAGTTTTTTAGTTCTGCTAATCCACTAACCTAATTATTTGCTGAAGGTAAACCTTCATTTAGTTATTTTTTAAAATGAACCTTAACGATAAAATTTAATTTTATATTATCAATGGTTTAAAGCATAAAATAGACTTGTCCATATTTTACAGTTTCAATTAATTAACTAATTTTAAATTATTTCAGAAGATCATTATAGTTGAACCATCATTTGGAAGAAGGGAATTAACACCACTTTTTGACATACTCACTTTTCTACATTTTTCCTTTCTTTAGTCAGAGAGGTTAATTGTGAGTTTGAAGAAAGGACTTTGATATCATTTTTGAAGAAATAGCTTAACTATTAAGCTCTATGTCTAAAGAATTTTGAAATGAAATGTGAAAAATTGGTGTTCTTTTTTTCCAATTAGTGGTTCAACTGTACTTTTTATTTATTTTTTATGCCATTAACTATTTATTTTTAATAATATTTAAGGCCAAAATGTCATCAAGTAGCATTTTTAAATGTGCTCTTCAAGCTTTAAACCATCATTATTTAATATTAAGTTATATTTTTATATAATTTATTTTTATCTTAAAATTTTATTTTTGTCTGAACTTCATTAATAAGTATTTTTCTAGCTTTCTCCTTATTGCTTTTCATTATTGCTCTCCTTCTTTGCCTCATATAAAAGTGTAATATAAAATATAAATATATATATATATATATATATATATATATATATATATATTTATATATATATATATATATATATATATATATATATATATATATATATATATATATATATATATATATATAAAAGTGTAATATAAAATAAAAAAAATATGAAAATTTAATTGTAATTTTTTATTTATGAAATCAATGAAATTATATGTATATATATATATATATGTATATATGTATATATATATATATATATATATATATATATATATATATATATAATATATATATATATATATATATATATATATGCTTTCTAACCTATATAAATATTTTCTTTTATAGTATATTGGTATTATATTGTGATTGGTGTTGGAATCTTACTGTTGATAGTTATATCTATTATTGGATACAAAGTTTATTCAAAACATAAAGGATATGATCGTTTATAGCTTAAAAATTGCAATTTAATTTATTATTTTTTATTTGTCTCTTATTCTTTATTCAATTTTTAATAGTAATAATAATGACATTTATTTTTTATTATTAATAATTGCTTTTTAAATAAATATTTTTATAGAAATGTTTTGTAAAGATGGTTTTTTTTTAGTTTCATTACAAATATTTTTATGCAGTACTAAACAACTTCTTAATAATAAACATTTAAATATTGTCAAGACTTTTTATGCGTGGAGGTGTTCCGTTAACTTTGTTTTATATTTATAGAGGTAAACTTTATATAAATCAATCACATATATGAGGTTTATAAATATTTTTTGAGATTTGAGTTTATATTTTGAGATAATGATATCATGTAATTTAAAATAATTATAAATACGTGTTTTTTTTTTATTCCTGAATACCATTTTCTTCTTCTTTTTTTTCAAAAATAAAACATGTTACATTGTGGTAAAAAATTCCATATGCTAAAAATAATACACCAAAAACATGCTAAAGTTGATCAATTGCCTTTTATCACTAAAAACAACTAATTACGCTTTAATAGAAAATCCTTATAGTTTATGTGAATCATCTTATAGTTTATGTGAATCATCTTAGCGTTTATGTGAATCATCTATTTTTCAATTTGGTGTACTTTAAGAGTCAACCAATTAATTCTTTGTGTTTAAAAGTGACAAAATTAAATACTCTTTATGAAAAAAACCATAAAAAATAATTGAGGTAACTAATTAAATTTTATTGTTTTTTAAAAAACCACAAAAAACGCAACTTAATAGCTGTGATGTTTTTTATTTTCTTAATAAAAATAAAAACAAATGTTTTTGTTTTTATTAAGAAAATAAAAATAATTTTTTAAAAATGTTTTTATTTTTATATTTTTACTATTTACATACATCAACTGACAAATAGGTAGAACATGTGAGGAGGGCTGCTACATCAACTGTCAGATAGGTAGAATATTTTAATTTTATTTTTTGATTATGATTCACTCCCAACAAGGCTGCAAGCAACCATTATTAAGTTGGAAGTTACTAGGAAAAAAAAGAATAGAGTTAATATTAAGTTATATTTTCATATAATTTAGTTTTATCATAAAATTTTATTTTTATCTGAGCATTTGTTCAGATGAAAATAAATGATAATTAACTGAAGTTAAGTTAAGATAAGTTAACTGAATGACGAGTCAAGTGAGAATGAGTTTTAATTAATGAAACTAGATATGATAGCTTCTTTGAGTAGGGACCATGGTATTATTTGTAGAAAAGAGAAAGAGATGCAACTTTATGGCGATTAGAAAGAGGGTCAAACTTGGCAGACTGGGTCCAACTACATTTACAATGCATTTTTGGACCTTGTCTAGAAGAGAAAGAAAGTCATTAGAAGAACCAGCCTAAATATGAAAACAGTATTCCATATAGGGGGGAATAAAGATTTTTAGAGATAGAGAATGAAATCAGGAGTAACAAAATGGTGAGCACAATAAGTAGAAGTAACTATAGCAGATAATAATTTAGCAATCGATTCTATATATATATATATATATATATATATATATATATATATATATATATATATATATATATATATATATTTATATTTATATATATACATATATATATTATAAATATATTATATATATATATATTTATATATTTATATTTATATATATACATATATATATATTATAAATATATTATATATATATATATATATATATATATATATATATATATATATATATATATATATATATATATATATATATATATATATATATATATATGTATATATATATATATATTATAAATATATACATATATATCATACATCAGATATTATATATAAATAAATAAATATATATATATATATATATATATATATATATATATATATATATATATATATATATATATATATATGTGTAAATCTACATGCTGGGAGTATTATTAATAATTAGAATTCAATCTCTGCTTGAGTAACTGGACATTTTACTGTGTAACTGTAAATTAACATAAAAAATATATATCATTTCGAATTGGATTTATTTCTTCAGTAAGCAATTCGTTTATTTCAGGGTCAATTTTGTTTTCAGATGAAGCTTTCAGTTCCTGGTCATTCTCATTGCTATCATCATTCTCAAACAAGTCTTCTTCAATCCAATAATTATTCTCCAAAAATCTCATTTACCATTTTCTAAGTCAGAATTTAACATTTAAGGAAAAGCTCTATGAAAACCTTTACCACCATCACAGATTTATCAAAATCGTATTGATTTAATATTTTTACCCAAACCAATATATTATTTTCAGCATTATGTGGGCCATTCAATCATTGAAGACCAAGATCTATTAGTTTTTTACTGAATATAGCAAAAGTAATCTAGCAACATGGTAAAAAATAAGCCATTTGATGGCTATCTAGATGTCCCCTATTAATGTAACAGTTTTGGCTTTTTAAAGGTAATTTGTGATTGGTTTTCTTATCTTTTCAACTATCTTAGGAATAATGTTATAGACAAAAGGTTTTTCATATGCTAAATGAATTTTATGACACCCTAAAGTCTTTTTAGATGCAGGTTGCCCAGCTTTTGGGTTACCATATTGGATGACATTACATATTTAGTTAGATCCATGATATTGTCATTTAAGCACGAAGCATCGTTATTATCAAGACTTATATCAAGACTTAAAAAAATTACCACTTTTACCAAGTAGCTCTTAATTTATAGCAATAAATGTAAACTGTAATTTTTTTTTTTCCCCAGGCTTAGAATCGATTTCTGTTCAGCAATGAAAAAAGTTTAAAACTGAGAAATTTTTTCAGTTTCACTAAGTTTTAAAATTTTACGCAGAAACTTGTTGTTTTTTAAGTTATGCCAAATTTTATCAATATCTTGAGCCTATAGTTTAAAACTTAAATTTCTTGATAAAGCATGGCTTAAGCTCTTGCTGCTCAAGGTTTGGTCTTGATTATTTGAAATCTAAAAATCACTTCAGACGCTATTGCTTCTATTAGAGATTCTTTATTTATTAACAGGCAGGTTTTCTTTATCTTCTTTTTTTTTTCCTTTTTTTGTTCTATCTTTTTTTTGATATTTCCAGAAATCCTAATATTTCTATAAATTTTATTTTTTTCCAAATATCTAATAGTTTTCTTAAAAGATAAGTTTAAAATATTTTTTTTTGTCATCAAATAATTAAAACAGTAAAGGTAATAAATTTTAAAAGGAAGAAGTTTTCCAAATTTTTTAAATATGACTAGGGTACAGTCCTCTGTAAATATAAATTGAAGCTAAGATTGAAATGATTTATTTTAATTAAAGAATTTTATTACTTAATTACCATAAAAAGAAAGATAATTACATCTAATTTTTTTTATCTGATTACTTTGCAGTCTACATTCAACTATAGTCTCGTAAAAATTACAAAACAAAATTAACAAGTATATATTCAAAAAAATTTTGCAAAATTACAAAATGTAATTTTGTGTAAGCTCATAAAAGTCGTTATTTCATATACGATGCGCTAGAAGCTTACTAACACCTTGAAAAACATTATTCAAAGCATAAATAATTATTTAAAACACGCAAATCTAAGAGAACTCCCTAAAGACTTTAAGACTTTAAAGATTTTCAACAAAACCATAAAGAAATTTTAAACATTGCTGGGGAGAGACTAATGGTTGTGTTTATGTGTGATACGTTGCATATTAAGTATTCCACCCAAACAAATGCGTGTGTTGAGTTGGATATTGATTATGATTTGAGTATTGTACTCAATTAGCAAAACGTAAAGAAAATTGCGTTCTGATTTGAATAAAATTTAAACAAATTTTTAGACAATTAATAACTATATAATATATATATATATATATAAACTGTAGTTTTAAAGAGCGCGTTAATAAACCAGACCAGAAAAAGTTTAAAAACTTAATTTTTTTTTAAATGATAGACTGCCTGCCCAAACCAAACCCTCAGTCGTTGTAGCAGCACTCCCTTGCGAGTCAGGCTATTTGTCAGTCGATGTAGCAGCACTCCGTTGCGAGTCAGGCTATTTGTCAGTCGACGTGAATTCAGGCTGGCATGGAATCCTTTATTCCCTCTCGACGATTCCAGGTCAAGCCTCACTCTTCTCCATGGTTTTCCTCACATTGTGCTGCTGCAATTGCCAATCAAAACCATTACTTCCATATCTATCAGCAAAACAATTTTCTAGAAAACAAACGTCTGTTTATTACTGCTAGAAACCATTGTAAAAAGGTTTTGTCTAACGCCAAAGCCTGCTATTCTCAGATCATGAAATCTCGTATTTCATCACAAAAATTAGGCTCTCGTGACTTCTGGAGAATCTTTAATAGTATCAATAATAAGGGCAAGTCTGTAATTCCACCTCTTTTGTACGGTTCAGACTTTGTCACCTCACCTAAAGACAAAGCTGATTTGTTTGCCAAGAACTTTTCATCATCTCTTGACTCCACTAGTTGCGTTCTACCTGATGTAGCCGTCAAACAGGTTGATCCATTGCTTGACATCCGTATCACTCCAGCTTCCGTATCTAAAGTGATTTCCTGCTTAAACTCTTCTACAGCTTGCGGCCCGGACAACATACCCGTTATAGTCTTGCAGAAGTGTTCTCCGGAGCTGTCGTCTATCCTTTCAAAACAATTTAACAAGTGCTTATCAGAGTCTTGTTTTTCAGCCTGCTGGAAAGCAGCATCTGTTATCCCTATTTTTAAAAATTCTGGAGAGCGATCCGATTTGTCTAACTACCGTCTCATTAGTCTTCTTCCTATCATAAGCAAGGTTTTTGAATCTTTAGTTAACAAATACTTAATCTCTCATCTCGAATCTCATAACCTACTTTCTGATCATCTATATTTATTTCGATCTTCTCGTTCTATGGCTGATTTGCTATCAGTAATAACCAATAGGTTTTATCGCGCATTAGATAAAGGTGGAGAGGTTAAGGCCATCGCTCTTGACATTTCTAAAGCGTTTGATAAAGTTTGGCATACTGGTCTTCTCCATAAGCTTTCTTCTTATGGTGTATCTGGAAACATCTTTAAGATTATTGAATCCTTTCTTTCCAATCATAGTATAAAAGTTGTCCTTATTGGACAGCACTCTTCTTCCTATTCTGTAACCTCAGGGGTTCCTCAAGGTTCAATCCTTGGCCCTATACTCTTTTTAATTTACATTAACGATCTTCCAGATATTCTCACATCTAAGGTGGCATTGTTCGCTGATGATACTACCATTTATTCTTGTCACGATAAAAAGCCAACTCCCTCTGATTGCTTGCAGGGGGCATCTGAGCTTGAAAAGGATCTCACTTCTGCTACAGCATGGGGCTCACAGTGGCTGATGAACTTTAATGCAAATAAAAATCAATTTTTTTCAGCCAATCGTTATCACAATAATTTAGACCTTCCTATATTTATGAACGGTGATGTACTCGATGAGTCATCTACCCTTCATCTTCTAGGATTAACTCTTACTTCTGATCTTTTTTGGAAACCTTTTATCAAATCCGTTGCAAAATTAGCATCTGCTAAAGTTGCTTCTCTTTATTGAGCTCGACACTTTCTTACTCTGGATTCTATTCTCTATCTCTATAAATCTCAAATCTGGCCTTGTATGGAATACTGTTGCCATATCTGGGGCAGATCTTCTAATGATGCCCTTTCTCTTTTAGAAAAGGTACAAAAACACATTGTAAACATAGTTGGACCTGCTCTTGCAGCCAACCTTCAACCTCTGTCACATCGTCATAAAGTTGCTTGTCTTTCTCTTTTCTATAAATACTATAATGGGCACTGCTCTTAAGAGCTAGCGTCTCTTATGCCATCTACTAAAATTCATTCTTGTGTTACTCGTCATTCAATTAAGTCTCATTCTTTTTCTGTTACTGTTCCTAAGTGCTTCAAAAACTCTTACTCGTCTAGTTTTTTTCCTTGAACATCAGTTATTTGGAATTTGCTTCCATCATCTTGCTTTCCTGATTCATATAATTTGCAATCTTTTAAGTGGTCTGTCAATCGTTATCTTGCTCTACAATCTTCATCTTTTCTCTTCCAGTAACTTCCAACAGTAATTTCCCTGATGCTATATATTTCATCACAAATCACCAATCACAACCTAAATTACAGTTGCCATAATTAAATTTATATTTAAAAAATTAAAAAATATTTTCAACAATATTGACTGAGTTGATATTTTTATCATTCAATAGGTGACTTTTAAAAATAAAAAAGTTAAAAAAAAATAATTTTGAACTTAACTTAATCTTTTGTTTTTTGAGCATTAATATTTTTTGTGTGTTATATATATTTATATATAAAAATATAATAAATATAATATGAATAAAAAAATAAAAATAATATGTTTTTTATGTAATTTTAAATTATTTAAAAAAAGAAATTTTACTATATGTGTACTATGTTTAAAAATGTTTTTGATGTTTCTAGCTGACAATGTTTTTATTTTAACTTATTAAATTTAATTTACAGTTAAAAAAAAGTTATAAAATAACTTTGCTTTAATAATAATAACCTTTTAAAAATGTTGTCAGCTATCTTTGTTTTTAAAAATGTTGTCAGCAATCTTTGTTGATCAACTAATTTTTAAAATAGTTTTGTTGTATTTATTTTTTTAACAAATATTAAAAGAAAAATTGACAACATGAAAACACAGGAAGAAGAGGACGGCTTGGGAAAATGCAATAGTATATTCACGTGCCAAATTCTTAAAATCAAAAATATCCTAAAATTGTTACTGAAAAATCTAATTTAACTTAAGTAGTTTTTTTTTTATATAAGGGATCGTCCATAAATTTCGTAATGTAAATTTTCACAAATAATATAAAGAAGATCAAAAGTTTTCCCTTGCAGAGTCTTAATAAAAAAAAAAAAAAAAAATAGTCCATTAAGTTTAATGAAAATTGCCACATAAAAGAGCTTAGTATCTCCTACTTCTGTTTTTTAAAAATATTTTGTGTTGGGTTGTTTTTGGACGATCCCTAATATAAGATTATTTATAAGTGTTTCAATACTTCTATTAATCATAATGAACTTTATATTACAATGTTATGAATACACATAAATGTATATTTTATATTTATGAAGTTTTTGCAAAAATCAAAAAAAGAAGTTCATCAAAATTTTTTGCATTTCAAGAATTATTTGGTTATAATTTATTTATATTTAAATATTTAAAAAATTTTTTAGAAAAAAAAAAAAAAAAATTAAATGGCTGTCTCTAATCTCACTGAAATTTACATGCTTAAAAAGAATTTACTTGACTCACCTAATTACTCCTCAACTTTGCAAGGTAAAGAGCTTTATAATATTTTAAATATGTGTGTGTGTATATATATATATATATATATATATATATATATATATATATATATATATATATATATATATATATATATATATATATATATATATATATATATATATATATATATATATATATATATATATATATATATATATATATATATATTTGCGGGTCCCTAATATTAAATAAAAAATTTTTTCTTTTTAATATTAGGGACCCGCTAAATATTCAAGGATCTTGGGGGACCCCTTAAAATATTTTTTATTCAAAAAAATTTTAAACCTAGTGTTATTTTATTATTTTGCATACATTTTGAGGTTGTGCCTACTTTTTTGAAAAAAAAACCACCATAATATATATATATATATATATATATATATATATATATATATATATATATATATATATATATATATATATATATATATATATATATATATATATATATATATATATATATATATATATTAGGGTGTCCCAAAAACACACTTTTTTTAAAATTTCAATGTGCTCTTAACTGATCCCCATTCTATAGGTCCTAAATAGCTATCAAAATCTTTTTTTTAACTTTTTAATGACTAGAAGTGATAGATGTAAATTCTGAGTTTTACGGTTTTGTACACATATGTGTATTTACTAAAAAACAGCGCTATCTAGTATTTCAATATGTTTTAATATGATGTAATAATTAGTACACAAATAATTCCCATAGGATATTATTAAAGAATAGGATCATTCCCTATGAACATTGTTAGCGATTGATATTTTTCCCTCTGGACAATATTATTAGTTGGTATAATTCCCCATGGATTGGTTCACAAATAACTCCATTTAGAAATTTTTTTTGAAGGAAAAAATTTCTAAATGGAATTATTTGTGCACAACGGAACTCTAATTTGTGCACGAAGAAATTCTTGTGTAAACGGTTATAAAAGCCGTAACGGTAAACTTAGATAAAATGTTATATGAGAGGGAATAACGACTTCATAGATTTTTGATGCAAGTGTAACATTTAGTAAAAATTTAGTTAAAAAACTGATTATTTCGAAATTCATATAAAGATGGGTAGAACAGCAAAAAAAAAGATGATAGGACAGAATAAGAAAAAATGAAAAAATACAGAAAGGTTGAGTTATATTTACCTATTGAAGTACCCACTGAGGGAGTTACCTCAGAGACAGCTTCCATCTAATGGTGATATTCTTAGATACTATCAATTTATCCTTCGCGAGTCACAAGTTAAATACAAACCCACTTCTACTAATATTGGTTGCAAATTAAAATCGAAATCCAAGGATCTTGTTTGTGAAAATGGTGTTTGTACAGATCCTGATAATTCTTGCAACAAGGTTCAATGTTGGTGTACGACCTCATCTGGCAATTTTAAGTGAAGTATTTAAAGCTGGAGGTATAGAAATTAATGATATACTGCTTTCACGAAGCACACTTCATAGAAAAAAGTTCAAATATGTAGAACTTGACGGAGACTCAGAGTGGATTTCAATATCTAATCATCTTAAAGGCCAACGGCTTATTCTTCATTTTGATACCAAACTGTTGGAACAAATTACCACTGGGCTAAACATTATTCAAAAAATTGAGCGACTTGCAGTCTCAGTGAGTTCCCCGAATGACAATACCATGGAAGACCATCTTTTAGGTGTTGTTCAATGTCCCTCTTCAAAGGGAGTTGACCAAGCAGAACAAGTGCACAATCTTTTAAAATATTACGGATGTAAAGAGCAGATCATTGGTATATGCTGTGATACAACTGCAAGCAATACAGGCGGAGTAAATGGAGCAGTCCAAATTCTTACAGATATTTTGAAATTACCAATTTTGTGGATAATGTGTAGGAGACACATATATGAAGTACATGTATCTCACTATATGGCTACCCTTACTGGTGAGAAAACTAAAGGTCCAAGAAGAGCTCTTTATGTCAAGCTAAAGAACAAGTGGCCTGAAATCTGTGAGAAAGTGAATGAAGTGAAAAATTTATGTAAATTGGACTGGCAAAGAGATGATCTGAAGATTGGCTCTGTTCTTTGCACTGTTACAGAGGAAGCTAAGACATTTTTGACTAATGCAACTACTGATATAGTGTTTTCAAGGAATGATTATGGTATAGTTTGTAAGCTTGCCTCCTTCTTCCTTGGAGTGGAAGTACAAGATTTTAAGTTCCATCAACCTGGCGCCTGCCATGAGGCAAGGTTTTTAGCAGATGCGATCTACATCCTGACTCTTTATATGACTAAAGATATCAGTAATATCTTGACAGAAAAAGAAATGCTGCAGTTGAAGGATACAAGTTTGTTCATTGCAATTTGCTATGTTCCATGGTTTTTAAAAAGTTTTTTAGGGTTTCTGGCTCCCTACAATGATTTGAAAGCTATCCAGACAGCCTATGCATTGAGAAAAGTTAGTAAGAATATTGGAAATGCTTTGCTTCTCAGCATGGGACGTCATACGTGGTACTTAACTCCGCAACTCTGTGTTTTTTCCTTTGGGGATAAAGAAGTTCCTTCTGAAACAAAGCTAAGAATGCTGTTAGCTCTGATTGAGTTTGAAGAGCCAAACGAATTTCAGCGTTGTAAACCATCAAATGTACAAATTGGAGAGACCACAGAGCTACCTGAGTTGATTTCCGAGCAAAGCTACCTTCTCTTCAAACATTTTAAAATATCAAGAGCAAGTATAAAAGAATGGCTTAATAATAGTCTTAATACTATAGATGTTTTTAACCATCCTCAGTTGCTAGATTTTATTGCATGGATCAAAAACATCTGTTGTAAATGATGGTGCAGAAAGAAACATTAAGCTCATTAAAGATTTTATTTCAGCTACTAGAGATGAAGATCACCTTCAAAATGTACTTTTTGTAATTAAAAAGTCTAGAAAAAACTTGACTAAGACTATGACTAAAAAGGAGCTTGGGAACTGTTCAAAAAGTTGTATTTTTTGAGAAATGTTTCACTGCAATAAAATCTTAAATTTGCTAATAAATATTAGTTTTCATGTATTTTTTTTTGTATTTTCATATTTATAAATATAATCTATCAAGTTAAATAGTAGAAAACAATTGGAAATGATTTATACCCATCTAATTGATTTGTTTTAATTTTCTAAAATGTGTTTTCTATTAATGTTAAGCTAGCTTAACATTAAAACAGTAAAACTCAGATTTTACATCTAGCACTTCCTGTCAAAATAAAACCGTCAAATTTTTTTTAGTACTTATTTAGGTCACATAGAATGGGAATCAGTAGAGAGCTTTTTTTTTTTTTTTGGGACACCCTAATATATATATATATATATATATATATATATATATATATATATATATATATATATATATATATATATATATATATATATATATATATATATATATGTATATATATATATATATATATGTATATATATATATATAATATATGTACACATATATATATGTATACATATATATGTATACATATATACATATATATGTATACATATATATATATATATATATATATATATATATATATATATATATATATATATATATATATATATATATATATATATATATATATATATATATATAATATATATCTGTGTGTGTGTGTGTGTGTGTGTGTGTGTGTGTGTGTGTGTATTAGGGTGGGTCATAATTTTTTTTTTTTGAATTCACAATGTATTTGTCCACTTTTAAATGAAATACCTACAAGAAAATAGTATTTCTGTTTGGATCAAAAAATTTATATAGAAAGGTAAGTTGCAAATAAAAAAAATAAGAGCATTCAAATGTTTGAAATTTGAGTGAAATTAGAAAATGAAATACAAGGCAAAAGCTAATTACATTTACAGCAACATGAGCAAATTTTTTTTACTTACTGAAGCAGCATGAGCTTGGAGCAGAAGGTTAGAAATGTTGAAACTTGCGTTGTAGAACATCATCTGGGAGGTACAAATAAAAAATGAGGATATAAATAAATCAATAATAAGTTAAATACATTTGAAAAAGTTTTACACAGACATGCTCGTTACAAAGTTTTAACAAAAAAAACAAATTTAACTTAATCCATCTCAACCAAAAATGTCATTTATAAAATTTTTTAAATCAAACAAAATTAATACAAGAAATCTACTCTTTGATAAATTTAAGTTATATAGAAATAAAATAAACAACTTACTTAAACAATCCAAAAAAGTGTATTATATTTCCTTTTTCAACAAAAACCTAAACAGTATTAAGAGAACTTAGGAAGGAATAAAAGAAGTTATCAACATCAGACCTACTTTATACAATAACTCTTTCGAGTCATCTCTGATTCAACCGCAATTGCTAATATTTTTAAGAATTACTTTGCTACTATCCAAGAGTATCTAATAAACAAAAAAAATTATCCTTAAGTATGATTTTAGAGACTTTTTAAAAAAGCCTAAAGTTCTTTTTTCTTTGAGCCAGTGACTGAAGTTGAGGTGTCAAGTCTCATAATGAAACTTCAAAACAAAATAAGTCTGGGCCCAATCAGCATTTCTACATTTAATCTTAAGCTTATTCCAAAACATAATCTCAAAGCCACTATCCATAATCTCAAAGCCACTATCCATAATCTCAAAGCCACTATCCATAATCTCAAAGCCACTATCCATAATGATAAATCATTTAGAAATGGAATTTTTTCAGATCTTCTTAAGATAGCTTAAGTGACACCCATACATAAAAAAGTTCTCTACTGGATTACTCTAATTATCACCTAATCTTTCTTCTCTCGAATATAAGAAAACTATTTGAGAAAGCTATGCACAATAGACTCTACAACTTTCTGGAGAACAACTTTCGACTCTACAACTTTCTGGAGAAATTTAACTGTTTTTATAAAAATCAGTATGGGTTTAGAAATAATCATTCAACAACCTATGCACTAACTGATGTAGCTTTGGACAATAAATTGTTTGCATCTGGTGTTTTTGTTGATTTTCAGAAAGCCTATGATACAGTTGATCATTCCATTCTAATCAGAAAGTTACTATGGTATCAGAGGCACAACGCTCCAATAGTTTTCTTTTTATCTTCAAAACAGAACACAATTTGTTTCTATTTATGGGATGGAATCTGAATTAATAAAATCAACAAATGGTGTGGCACAAGGTTCTGTATTAGGACTATTGCTTTTCCTTCTCTTTATTAATGATCTTAATACCACTCTGAAGTTTTACACTTCTTACCACTTCGCTGATGACACTAATACCACTCTGAAGTTTTGCACTTCGCCACCACTTCGCTGATGATACTAGTCCGCTTTTAATCAACAAATCACTTAAAAAGATAAACAAAAATATTAACCATGACTTAGCGAATCTACTCCAGTTGCTTTTATCCAATAAATTATCACTTAATTCCAATAAAAAAAAATTATTATCTGTAAATCAAGTCAAAGAAAAATAAAAAAGCACCTGAATTTCAGATAAAGTGGTCAAAAAATAGATCCTGTGAATTTAATAAAGTCTCTTGGTATCAAAATTGATTCTAATTTAAGTTTTGCATCCCATCTCAAGACTTAGCACTGAAGCTAAGCAGGTCCAATGGTATGTTGGTCAAAGTTCAACATTATTTTAATCTTGAAACGCTCCTTAACATGTATTGTGTTTCTTTTGAGTCTCATTTTAGATATGTCAAATGTGGGGGCAAACCCAATTTCTAATGTTTAAAACATTATCTCACCTTCAAAATAAAGCCCTAAAAATAATCTAATTTCAGCATTTTAACTCTGACCCTAATATCCTCTAATACATATCAAGGATACTTAAATTGAAAGACCTTATTCAACACTCCAACTGTTTGTTTGTTTGGAAACAGCAACATAAAACCTTACCTCCTCCATTTACTGATTTTTTTACTTATAAAAAAAAATAATATTCTTTACTAACTTCGATCAGCTAAAAGCTTCAAATTATCTACACTAAACATAGAACTGTTTATTATGGCCATGAATCTATTAAATATCAGAGCATATCCACATGGCATAGCCTCTTCTCACAGTTTAAATCTCCCCCTACATTTTCCAAATTCAAAAACAGTCTTTGATTTTTTATTAAACAAGTATTTTCCTAATTTCTATGCTACTTTACTGCTAACTATCTACTATCCATCTTAACTTTATTTACTTCAATGCTGGTTTATAACTACTAATACCTGATCTTTTTTAAAGTTCTTTTCTACTACTTTCTTCATTTTAATGCTGATTTATTATTATTAATACTTGCTCTTTAACTTTTTAATATTATTTTTATATCACTATTTTATTTCAAACTCTATTATTATTATTATTATTGTTATTATTGTTGTTATTGTTATTATTATTATTACTATTGTTATTATTGCTATTATTATTAATAATAGAATTGTTATTTTTATCCTTAGTATTATTATTACTATTTTGATTATTATTACCAATAACTTTTGTTATTACTGCCTATTATTATATTACTTATCTTACTATTTTATTTATAATGTTGTTACTGTATATTGTTATAATCTACTTCTCTTTTATTGCTATATTTTAATTAGGTATACAAAAGTCTTCTATTCTAGATAGATGTAAATTAAATCCTAAATATATCAAACTTCTTACTTAATTATTATTCCATAACAATTTTTGTTAAATTATTGTACTAGCATGTTTTTTTCTTTTTTTTTCTTTAGTTTTTCATTATGGCGTTTTCTTAAAATTAGTACTTGTACTATATGTAAATATTCCATGAAATTTAAAATCTATTTCAGAATAAATTTGATTTGTCTAGGAAAAAAATTGTTGAATGTATGATAAAATAATGTGTATATCCTATGATATATGTATGATAAAGTAGTGTGTATATCGACTGTAAAGCATGGTGAATGTAGTGTCAAGGTGTGGGGCTGTTTTAGTTGGATCTTTCTCATTTTGTATTTTTACGGGATCAAAAGTAATATCAAAAACTAATGATGCATAAGATGTGGAGAAAACTTATTAGTTAGTAGCATAAAATTAAATTTGACAAACTGGATAAACTGTTACGTAGAATGCCAAGAATTTGTATGGCATTTATTGGCGCTAAGGGTGATTAAAAGGCAAGTAAATTATAAATTAATCTAATGGGACTTTATATTAATTTTTTTGTAATCCTTACAAATATGAAGATAACATATAATTCAGGTAGACTTTGCTTTCAGTTTCTCTCCCAATAGTAATAAATTTTTGATATCTTATATCAAAAAGTACGACCATTCGAATAATTATGGACGGTAGTGTATGTATATACATACATACATACATTTAAACTTGTATATATTTTATAACAGGTTTTCGTCATCTTGATCCTGAAAAGGACTACAAAGTTAGAAGAATAACTTCCTTAGTGAATGAATCAATTCATATTGCTGCTAATGAACCTTCATTAGGATTATACAGAATACAAGAGCATGTCAAACGCACTTTGCCACACCTTGTTAAGCGTAAAAAAGAATTATCATCAATTAATACCCGTATTCAAGGTTTTGTTTTTTAATTATTCATAAACTTTGAAGTTGCTATTTTATTTTTATTATTATTTATAATATATTTTTAAGTTGATATTGATAAATTATTTGAAATAAATGTAACTTTTTTTTGGTAAATTATTATAATGGTATATAAAAGGTTTTAAAATTACAAATAAGCGCACTGTAATAACTGTAATCAGAATAGAAGTATTGCTTAAGTTTAAAATCATAAAAAGAAACCATTGACTAGCGTAAACAAACCATTTTCAGAAGGTCTAAAGGCAACCTCTGGCAAATTAAAAGGTGACCCCCGTTAGAGTCACAACCCACAGTTTAAGAACCAATAATCTAGAACAACGATAACTTAAATAGTAAATGATTTTAAATTTTTTTGTTATAAAAACAATTAATACTATATTTAACGTAAATATATTTTTAGATGCTTCATATGATCTTGGACTTTCATTGGAGGTAATTGAAAGTATATCACAGATTAAACATTTTACTCGTATAAAAGAAGCACTTCAAAATGCAATTAGCTATAAAATTAAATTAAATGAGTACAGAGAACAAGAAAAAGCTAGGCAAGAGTTTGAATTAAAGAATGCTCGTTCAGTTAATAAATCCATATCTCAAAATGAACCAGCTGAAGGATTTATATGTCCAGTTTGTTATTTTGCACTTTTAAATCAAGAAGAACTATTTAAACATTGGGAATCAAATCATAATTTAGACAATTGTGAAAATGATGTTTTTCATGAATTAGAAGTTCCAGTAGAAGATGGCAACAATTTTGTATTGAACCAAGATAATGACATGACTGTAATTGAAATGGGTCATTCAAGTGTAAGTGAATGCATTGATGTAGTTTATGAGCTATCAGGTCAAAAGTAATCCTGCTCCCATCATTTCTCCTAAACCTTCTAAAAGTATTGAAGATTGATATGAAGCCAAAGACAAAATAGACTTGAAGTGACTAATAATTTTTTTGCAAAATTTGTATAGTATTTTATATAAAAAATTAAACTGTTATGTAAATTCGAATTGTTAAGTTATTATAAAAAAATTTTGTAAGTATATACTATGTATTTTAAAAGTTCAAAAATTAAAAAATGTTATTAAACTCTACTTTTTATGTATAATATTTTATGATTTTATGTTTTTATGATTATGGTTTACTTTTTAAAATTGTTTATTGAACAATTAATCAACAAATGTTAAATCTTTATTATTTGGTATTTATTTACAAGAATATTTTATCAATGGCAAGTATGTTTTAGCGCTCACAAGTATATTTTAATGATCATGAAGTATGTCTATTCAAACAGTTGATTCACAGGTATCTTTCAATGATTTTGTAAAGGTTGTTGAAAAAATCAGCAATACAGCAAGCAAAGAGAAGAAGCAGGATATCTTTAAAAAGTTTTTTTCAAGATGGAGAGAGAAGCACAAGCAGTTACACGGTGAAGAAAAAACAGTAAGCTTCAGTCTATTATAGTTTTGATGATGTGGGTTTACTTCTTAAAATTACATAATTTATATTTTAATAATTAAAATTTCATTACTTTAACTTTTTTTTGTCTCCTTTAGTCAGACTCACTCTATCCTGTCATCAGAATTATTTTGCCTCATCTTGATAAAGATCGATCATACGGATTAAAAGAGGTGAATTATAAATATTTAAACTAGTTTTCATCTTTTAATAGGATTCATCATCAGGAATGTGTAGTTGTTATCAAAAATGTGTTGTGTGTGTAATCAGTTTTTCAATTAGGACTGCACAGGATGTGTGATTGGGATTGTGTTTGTTGTGTGATCAGGGATGTATAGGATTTGTGTTCATGGCTTTGTTGGGTGTGTGATCAGGCTTATGTTGGATGTGTAATCAAGTATGTATGCTGTTTGGCAATGACAAGTGTATAAGTAGAACTGAAAAGTCATTTTAATTTTTTTTTTGCACAGAATAAAGTCAAATATTATTATAAAACATTTGTATTGGAGGTGTCATGTTGGTGGTGGTGGTAGCTCTTATTATGGAGTTACTACTGACTTAATATTTGTTAATATGTCAGAACTATAGTTAGTGCATTTAATGTATTTTTTGGATTTATGCATGATATGTTAGTCTTATTTATATCGATAGTTTTCAGAAAGTATCCTGTTGATTTTTTCAGATTTTTCTGGCAAAGTACTACATTGAAGTCTTGAATATATCTAAAAAAAGCACAGATGGCATTAATCTTTTAAGATATAAAACACCAAAGTTAGGAAAACAGGTTTTTATTTATTGTAACATATTAAAAATTTGTCTTTTAAATTCAATTTTCATATATTTAAAGTATTAAATATGTAATTATAAGTAATGATAATAATTAATATTTTTATCATACTATTTTATCATTTTATTATACTAGTATCTACATTATTGTTGTTGTAGTTGGAAGTATGAAATCATAGTCACAAGATAAATTCCATGGCAATACCAAAGTTAACACAGACTCCCATTTCTTGCCTTAATTTTTTCATAACTTATGCACTATAAGTAACACACCTAAAGATGTCATTATCAAAAAGAAGCCAAATTCGTGCAACTTGTCAATAACAATACAATAAACTCTTTCTAAAAGTATTAAAATATTTATTCTAATCATTCCAAGACTTTAATAACATTTGTCTGAATGATGTACATTAAGACACCTTCAGTTTTTTGTCTAAAATTAAATCATTAAGAGAAATCTAAAAAAAATTAAACTCTAATAAAAAAAAAAAAACATTTGAAATAGTTTAAGAAAGCTTTGAAGTACTTTAGTGTTGTCTGGTATAAGCATGTTTTTGATATTTTGATTTTTCTAGATCTGGTTGCTTTTCCTAATTTGAAAATACAAATACAAAAAATTTGAGATTTTTTTTGCAATTTTTATAACTTTTTAAATCTTTTTAAATCTTTTCAATACTTTTTGTAATATTACATCATTATTACATCATGCTGTTTTGTATTTAAAACAAATACTTTAACAATATTAGCACTTTTTAAAGCTCATTTATTATCTTTCACTACATGTTGTAAAGTATTTTGTAATTGCTGTTTCGCAGAGTTTATTTCAAAATTAAAACAATGGTGAAATGCTTTCATCAAATCTTTGAGAAAATTGTTCACTCCTAGTAAGGTCATCCAGTTTAGAGCTTTATTTGCGCTGTGCATGTTCACGCAAACCTGTATGCTGTTGTCATTTTTTAAAACAATTACCATTAAATTGACCCATGATATCATTTCATCCATTAAAGTTTCTGTTATTCTTTCTGCTTCAGGTTTGGCAAGTTTTAAGCTTCAACTTTTTTCAAAACGGAAATTCGGAAAAAGTTAAAACTTGGAGCTTTATTATTATTTTTTGTTATTGACGTCTGTTTTTATTTTATTTTTTTATGAGTACCTGCATAGAAAATTAATTTTCTTAGTCTAATAATTTAGCATTATTTTCTGATAAGAGATTTTTGTCAAGAATTTGAGACCACATTTCTATCCTTTCAGATTACATTCCATGATCACACTTAATGTGGTCTGAAAAGATTTGTTAGACTTTCATGATGTGACCTTTAATTTTAAGCTTCTCACTGTTATTACCATAAGAAATCTGCATTTTTGATTTATTTAAGCAAAGATATATTTTTTTTTAATTATTAACTAATTTATTAACCTTTTTAAATATTTTAAATTATCTTTTTGTCACAGAATATTTTATAGAATAAATTATCTTTTTGTCACAGAAGTTTTCTTGTTTCAAATATAATCATGGTTTATATATGGGTTTTTGGATGCATTATTATTTTTATTTAGTTTAATTATAAATGGTTTTGTAAAAATTTGTTAATTTTTATTCTTCCCTCTCTGTATTGTTGTATTTTATTCATTTTGTTTTTCAATTATGCAGATTGTAGAAAATACCCATGAAACAAATCTTCTATTTTTGTAAAATATCACATCTCCTATTTTATAAATGAAGTCTTGCCCTTTTAGACTCATTTTGAAATAAAATGTTTTTGTTTAGTATTTTCTATATTAATTTTATAAACTAATTTCAAATTCAAACAAACTTAATTTAAATAATCCCATATTTTATTAAAACTAATTTGTCTGAATTTTGATGCATTGTGCCTATTTTTTTTTATTTGTCTGTGTGCCTACAGTAACCCTCTAGTTGAGGGAAATTACCTTCTGAAAAAAAATTTCTTTAACTTAAATAGAATTAAAATTTATAACTAGATTTCAAATTTTATTGAAGTATATTTTGTCATTTTTAAGATACATCATATAAAGTTTCAAAAATCATCTCTTAGATCATCATAACTATGTTAAAAGTGCAGTGGCTTATGTTACTATGTTAAAACTAAAGTTACTTATGAATATTAGATCCATGAATAATTTTTTAAACATATTTTTTCATAATTTTCTAAATTAATATTACTGTCTATTTATTTCTATTTTTCATTTAAATTTGCTTTTAAATATAACCTACTTATAATTTTTCAATTTCAAAATTGAGTCCAAACATATTATAGTATCAGCGTAGTTTATAGTTGGTCATAATACTTTTTTATGATTTTAATTTGAGTTGTTCATAAATTTTAACCCTCTTTTTTATTTGTACAATTTCAATTAATGCATGTTTTGTGTATGTTTTCGGGGGGTTGAAAAAAGAAACAATTTACAAAATACTTGCTGGTACCCCCTAAATGAGCTTTATAAAACCAAAAATCACTAGAATTTGAAAATTTTATTAAAAAAATATATTTTTATAAATTCTTTATGTCTTTAATATTATTGAAAAAACAATTTCAAAAATAACTCAATCTGGATCTCAAATAAAGCAAATCTAAATAAGATTTTCAAAAATATTAATCATTTTATATAAAAATTGTTCTTGATTTACTGCATAAAAAATGGCAGTTAAAAATCCATTGTTCCTAAGTTTTTTTTATTAATTTTTTTTTCTCTATAACTAAATAGTTGTTTATTTTTTAACAAACTAATTTTTTGAACCAATTTAATATGTATATATTTCAATTATGGTTATATTCAGTAAATTCTGTTTTTATTCTCTTTTTATGTTTTTATGTATTTTTTGTTACATTTATTTGATTGCATTAAGTTGATTGCATTAAGTTGATTTCATTAAGTTGATTTCATTAAGTTAATTTCATTAAGTTGATTGCATTAAGTTGATTGTCAATAAGTAAGTGTATAGATTTGAAAAATGTTTTTTATAAAAACTCATAATAAAAGCTCTGGGTATTCCAAACAAAACAGCAATTTTTTTTTAATTATTAAAAGTTAATTGTCATTCAAAAATAACTTTTTATATTTTTACATTCATTTAAAAAAAATTTAATTTAAAAAATCATTTTACTCACTTTATTGTTAAATAAATATGCTTCATTGTGTTATGGAACTTTCAAAATTTTTTTTTGTAGGGAGCTGGAGATTTTGCAAGTGTAGTATATGCAGCTTTAAAGAACCGATGTCCTGATAAAGGAAGGTAATGTTTATTTTAGTCGTCATTAATTCTTATTGCCCAAATAATTTTTGTTACAATTAAAATTAAAAATTATATATTAAAGTGATCCCCAAGTGATGAGACAAATTGTGTTCATATTGGTGAAAAAGTTAAAAAAAAACGTTTTGGCAAAATTTTTTTTGATTAAAACTAAATAATAAATGCGTACCAATAAAAATAAAAATGTTGTTTAGTCAAAGCTCACTGTCTCCATTTTTCTTTTCATTTTCTGAGTCTGTATAATGTTAGCTGCAATCTGCAGACTTAATGTTTTTTTTCATGCAAGTTTAGTTCGTAACAATTTTGGTATATGACATCATCATAGAAGTTTTTAAAAGATATCATATTATTTTTTGTGCCACAACCAGCTAATCATTTTTATTTGTATAACTTTTTACTTAATTCCAAAAACGTTTTGCAATAATTAAATATAAAACAACTTGTTTTTAACAATTTCAAATATTAATCTTTCTAATGTAATCTTTTTAATTGTTTTTAACAATTAAAAAATTATAAAAATTAAAAAATGCAATTGTTATTACTATAATTTAAGCTTGGTGGTTTACATTTATAAATCTGGAAATACAAAAAAAAAAAAAAAAGATACAAAACTAGCATGTTATCAAACCAAAAATTTTATTGTGCTCTTTTTTTGGTCACATTCTTAGTCAAGTTTTTTTCTAGATTTGTAATTTTTGAGTTTTTTATATAAAATAATGTAAGAATATTTTATATCAAATTTTTTTTGTAAAATTTTTTCTTTTTTTTCTTTTATCTACTTAAAATTTTCAAAGTGACAAAATTACAATGATTTGGATGAAAATAGAAAAATAGTGTAGCATAACAAATTTTGTCAATTTTCAAAATTGAGTTTTTAATGTTGAAACTATTCAGTAAAAGCATGCAAAATATTATTTGTTTTGACCTCTTTTTGCTTTAAAAAATGTTTTTGTTATATTTGATGTTTTTTCTCAATTCTTATATAAGAGGAAAATAAGAATATAAATTGCTATTTATTTATATATATTTATATATTTATTTATATATTAGAATATAAATTGCTATTTATTTATATATTTGTAAACTATATTATTTGATTAAAAATTTTGTAATGATGGAATTAATTAAATAAAAGAATGTATTAAATGAAAAAATGTATTTAAAATTTTTTTTTAGCGTTTTGACTCCTAAAATTTTTGTTAAAAAAGTTCAGTAAATTTACAATGCACTAGCCCACAACCTTTTGGAGCATCCTCAATAACAATTGTTCATCAGGAAATGGACTAAATATTTTATATTTAAGTAGAAGTGATAATGACTTTTTATTTTTTTCATGAAAAACTTGCTACAAAGAAACTTTTTTTTTGTACAAATAAATAGCAATTAGTTTTCTCGCTTTCCTGTGCATTGATAAAAATAGTAAATTTAGCAAACAAATTTAAAAATTGTTGATGTTTCTAGCACAAATAATAAGTATTTCCTATATACTGATTGAAAAAAGTCATGAAAAAAATTCTATATCAAAAAATGTTTTTATTTTCAATATATTCTCATCTGCTTTTTTCCTCAACTCCTATCAATTTTGGTAGTGGAAAGTAATAAATGCCCTAAAAATAAGAAAACAAAAACAGTAAAATATTTAGGTTCAGTGTCCTTAATAGAAAATGGGACAGTATGATGTTTTTTAAAAAAGCAAAAAAATTAATTTTTTCTTAAATATTTTTTTAACTTTATTTAAAATGTCAAATAATAACTTCCATTACACAATATTTGTCATTAAAAATTAAAAAAAGTCAATAAAACAGTTAGACTTATAACAAAAACATTAAAAACTTGAAAAAAAAGAATGGTAAATTTGAGTATGTTTTCTAATTTTAAATGATATCTGCACAAATTCATTCTCTTAACACGATTTTTCTTGTTTATTAAAAGCTTTTTTTGTTAGTAAAGTAAACGTTTCATCTTTCTTTACTCTTGCGACAATTGTATTGTTACATAAGTGTTGAAGGTTAAAATTTTGATTTATCTTTATATTTAACTCACTGATATCCTACAATTCTTCATCACTTCTCTTATAATCAATCGATCTTCTCTTTCTCTTGTTTTTCGCTTTTTTCCTGACCTTGACTTTCTGTTAATTGAATTTTGAGAAATAAATCTGGACACAACACTTTGAACTGTAGATTTACCGTAACTTCTTTAGAAATATTACGCTAAGTCCAATCGTGCATTTGAATTATTCTACCTTTATCAAAGTCTGAAACGTGTTTTTTCCTAAATTGGTAAATGTGAATTTTAACTGATAAACAAATGATATAGTTCAAACTAAATGCTATAATACTAAAGTAATAAGGAATGAATAAGTATGAATGTCATATACCTATTTAATAGTTGAATTTTTGTTGTAGTAAAATCAAAAGCATCTAACTTTGCCAATGTTGCCATTTAACTAAATTTTCTAATTATATAAAATTGCTAAAAAAATTTGTTTAAATAAAAAAATATAAATTTTTTTGAGTCATGAAGATATGAAAAGTTAAAAACAACTTTAATTTATTTTTTAATAATTTGCAAAAAAAACAATATAAAATCACATGTAATACTTTATAATGAGAAAAACTTTAATGGGAAATATAAAATATAATGTTAAAGATTTCCTTTTTTACCTGTTGTTAATTTGAGCGTCTACCTCCTTTTTTTCTTCAATATCTTTTCATTTTAAATATTCAAATAGTGTAAATATATTAAATATCTAACATTGAAAACCAAAAATCTTTAAAAATTTTATTGTACAATCAACTTTACTTTATTATAAAAAATGTATATAATTTTTTATTTATGTTAGTTTCTAACTAACAAAAATTCTAATTCTGTAGTTTAGTTGAATTTTAAAAGTTTAATCAATTAATTTTGTTTGTTTTTTATTAAATAGTATAGTTCATTATTTGTTCTAATTTTAAAACTAAGAAAAAAAATTTTAAGATAAGTGATACAACATTGATTTTTATGACTTTTAACAAAAAAGTTATTTTTTTGAGGACACTGTATATTATTTTTTTGACAAAATTTTTTTTTTTAGTATTCCATTTTTTTTTTAGCTTATATTTAAATTTTCTATTTTGTATGGTCTTTGTTTTCTTTCTTCAAGTATCTCGGAATTCTAATCTCCGAGAAGCTTAAGTATGCTCAACAGTACAATATAGCTGCAAACAAAGCAAATAATATGCTTGGAATTCTTAAACACACCTTTGTAATAAGAGACATTTGGAAAAAAAATTATACTGCATCAGGCAGTTTTAAATAAAAAAGTGCTTAATGCATTAGCTTGACGTGATATTTGACGTCATAAAATAATATATTTTTTTTATAGACGTTAAGTAGTTTTAACTACTGCAATAAATAAATAACTGCTAACTAGTTCAATTTAACAATTAACTCAGATAACTATAAACATTTTGAATATAAATTTATTATAAAAAGTTTGTTATGTTTTCAATTATTATTTTAATTATAATTTTAGTTCAATGTTATTTAGTAAAATAATATATATATATATATATATATATATATATATATATATATATATATATATATATATATATATATATATATATATATATATATATATACATATATATATATAACTTATAAATAAACTCAAAAGTGTTTTCACTCTACGTATAATTACAAAACTCATTTTTTTTTTTGTTTTTAAGCAATTTAACTTGGAATAATAAAATAAAAAAAGAATAAATATGAGGTAATCTTTAATAAGAACTTTATTGAACTATATTTTTATTTTTATTTATATACCAACTTAAATAAAGTATAGTAACATGTTAAAATATTTTAACATGACTTGTGTCATTTATAAACCGTAGGGCAGCTGCCCTTACGGCACCATTGGTTTTGGATAATATTTTATTTTGATGAAGATCACATAACTTACATTTGATTTTAATAATGTAAGTCTTCTCTTTTTCTGTGATAGTTTCAATTAGAAAAGCATCGGCAAAGTCCCAGGATTAAAAGTTTTCAAAGTAAATCTTTTGTCCTTCAAAATACAATCCATATTCAAACTTTAAACAGTTTGTAGAGAATAGAAATGTACTAGGTTTTTATGTACTAGTTTGTCTTATTTTATACAGAAAAATACATAGTCATTAGTAAAAAAAAGAGACTGTCATTAAACTAAAATGTGCCTTAGTATTTATTTAACGGAGTCTGTAATGTGCACGTGCATAATGAAATGTTATATAAATATATTTAACGTAATATTAGTGTCATCAGCGGATGTTATAGTCTACTTGTGATTACTTTACCTTATAATATAACTTGATTTATGAAAAAAAACACTTATTGAATCGCACGCAGAAGAAATTTAACAAATTGTCTTCATTCAAAAATTGCGAGTATCAAGTAATTTTTTTTTTTTCTGTGTCGGCCCCCTTCCTAGCATAACTTAAAGGTAAAGTGCCTTTAACTAATAAGAAAAGCAAAGAGTAATAATGAAGTATTTTTTAGTACAATACAAATAGATTGTTCATTCATTGGCACATTTTTTTTAATATCTCGAAAAAATATCTTGATATTTTTGTTATCATGATAACAAAAATATAAAGACATTTTTTGAGATATTAAAAAAAATGTCAAAAATTACAAATTTTTTGCAATTGTTTTTTAATATGAATTTAGTAAAAAACTCTTTAAAAATCTATATAACAAAAAACATTTATATTCTGTATTAATAAATTTGGAATATAGATTTTTTAAAAGTTTTTTACTGAAAACTTTAAAAAATTACTACTTTTTATTAAAAACATTTGCAAAAAATTTATAGTTAAGGATTGATAAACAATTTTTCATGTTGCTAAATATTTGAATAAAAAGTTTAGCGTAAAATTAATTGTTATAAAAAGGTAAGATATATCGTGATGAAAAGTTACTACAATTATTTTTAATGTAACTTCTTTTTTGTAATAAATATTTTTACACATCGTTATTCAAAAGTTAATGTGGTTTTTATAAAAATTAATTCTTTTATGTTACCGCTAATTTAAAAGTTAAAAAATGATTAAAAAGTAGCTTAACCAAAACAGCTCTACGCGTACGTAAAAATCGCTTAAGGCGTACGTAAATCGCTCTAGATGTAGCACTTTAAAACAAGGCCTGCTGCATATATTAGACCACATCTGGAATTAGCCATACAAGCTTGGAACCCTTACCATAATAGTGACATAACAAAAATGAAAAGGTACAACACAACGCCACAAAAGTTCCTCAGGCTTTGAAAAGTAAAGACTACAAAACTCAATGTAAAATTATGAATTTAACCACCCTTGAAGACAGACGGAAAAGAGGTGATCTTGTTCAAAAATATAAGCTTCTCAACAATTTAAACCTAATTGATTGGCACGTAATGTCTTGCAGCAAAGCACCCAGAGCTCAACATTAAATTTTTGATTTCATCGCAAGATGAACTGTCAGGAACTGCAAAATCAGACATAAGTTTTTTAACAACCGTGTAGTCAATGACTGGAATAGTTTGCCAGATAATGTCATCGAGGCAACATCAGTTGATAAATTTAAACAACTACTAGACAGTTTTCAGTCATCGTAGTTACTACAGCTCATCATTTATCGTAAATGCCACACCAAAGTGGCTGACATACAAGTTGGGTACAGATGCCTATACTCAGATGATGATGAGTTTAACAAGGCTGTGCCTTTTTGGATTTTTAAGTTATGGATCTGGATCCAATTTCAACTTAAAATCAATTTAAAAAAATGCTTTCCTCAAAATATTTTTATTAATTTTGAATATAATAAAAAAATTTTATATATATATATATATATATATATATATATATATATATATATATATATATATATATATATATATATAATCACAATTTTGTGAAATAAATTCTTTGCAGCATTTCATCTAATTTTACAGGCTCTAACGTCTAAACTAAATCTTGAAGAGTTAGCAGCTCTAAATCTGATATTATTATTGGAGATTGCACTTGGATAAGTTGGTTAAACCATATCAAATACTTGGATAAACCATATGAAATAATGAGTTCCAATGGGTCTTGCAGTCTAAAATAGGTATAAGTTCATGTACAAATTCTGATTTTACATGCTTCTGCAACAAATCCTCATTTTTAACCAGTGGTTTTTAAAATTTTTTTATTGTTGTGCAAGTTTAAATTGAAAAAAAATCTTTTATAACAACAGCCTCTACTGAACTATTTTAAAATTCAATGTAGCCCAGCTCTTCATCTTGATTAAGCTCTTTACTGTCATCCTCACTATCATTAATTTTAAAATTATTGTTTTGGTCTAAAACTTCAGTCGGTTTCACATAAAGTACATCCGCTACTGCTAAATATATTGCATGGGCATAGCAAATGTGATTGATTAGTGGGTTGATTAAATGGCCAAATTTAATCATAACAGATGCATCATCTGTAGTTGTACTAACAATATCTTATTTATCAATATCATTATTTATCAATATCATTATTCCAGTTTGAGTTCACTTAACTTTTCATTTACGATTTCAACAGCTTTTTCAGATGACATACTCCCGACAACACATACAAATCCAAGATTAAGGCTTCCATTTGTGTGCACATTAATATTCATACAACAAAGCATTTTAATTAATGTTTATCAACAGTTAAGCTAAATCTGAAATTGTTAGCTTATAAATTGCTTTATTATTTCTAAATTATGTTTTAAAGTGCAGCAGTTTCAAACTATATGTAGGCTATAATGGTATCTAAAATCGACATTATAAAAAGGTTTTTTTAGGTAAAAAAGACCGGAATCCAATATCCGTAATAAATAAATCCTGATCCGGATCTTCATAAAATGATACGGGTATTTCTTTCCGGAGCTTGGATCCGACTATGTCCTAATCATATTGCTTTAATTTTTCCTCTAGCTGCAAACTCTAATAATCACAAAGTATGTATGATTGTGTCATGAATTTGGCTGGCTTCTAAAACAAAATAAATATTTATCAAGCAAAAAAAAACTAAATTTAGTAATAAGATGGACTTTTTTAGTTTGTTTTACTTATTGTTTTTAAGGCAGAAAATTTTACTTCTTTATTAAATTCTTACTATCTCTTTCATTCTTGGTTTTTCTTTTTTTTTTTTTTTAATTAAAATTTTAAATATGGACTATAATTAGGCTATTTTAATAAATATTAACATGAAGTTATTATTTATTATAAAAGTATACTTTATAGTTAAACAACTGGAAATATGTAATAAATTACGCAAATGAAAGTTAAATTAAAAAAAAAAAGTGTAAATATATATATTATTTATATGCACATATATGTATATATATATGTGTGTGTGTATATGCATAAATTGAGGGTGATTGCCCGTGCACGTCCTCACACCTATGTAAGTCAGTTAAAACAGGCAAAATAAAGCTCGTGCGAAAAAACAATTTTTTTTAAAAAGAAAAACTTAATATTTTTTAAAGTGAGTTGTATTTTACTTACTTAAACAAAAATAATAAAAAACTTCATTTTTCAAAATATCACAGCACAATAAAAATAAAAATTTGCTTTAATAAGTATTACATGAATACATAATAATAAATTAATTTAATTCATTGTTACTCTCTTGTGAGCGTCTTTAAGATAAAAAGTTTTGTAATTAACGATTTTACAAAATGTTTTTGACATAATTATTTATCATAAATTAAAAATTTATTTTAAATAAATAATTATAAATAGACTCAATAAGTTTAAATGACCATATATGAATTTGATTGAAAAGCATATTAAGGAAGCTGTAAACAACAACAACAACAAAGAACTAAAGAGCTTTAGTAGTTTTTAAAAAGCTATTTAAATTTTGTATTTTTAATTAAAAACTTTTTAAAAATATATACTTTTTAACACAAAATGCTTTTTATCTAAAATATGGCTTAATCAAAGTGAAAATAATAGATACACGCTTATTTAAAACTCAAATAAAATATTTTTTAATAAACAGTAATAAAAATTAAATCATTTATATTTTGAATTACCAACACTTTTAAAAATATCAACAATTTAATATTTTTAAAAGTGTTGGTAATTCAAAATATGGACTTCAATATTTTTAAAACAATTTTAAAAATATCGAAGTCCTTTTCACTCTATTTTTGAGCTCATTCAAGTGTTAATTAAGTGTTGTAAGTATGTGCTTCGAGTAATTACTTTCCTTATAATGTCTTGTTTGGAGCTATTTCAGGGCGGTTTTTAAACCTTTCAGATTGTTTCAATAAAAAAGGGATCTAAATATAAATTAAAAAGCAGTTTAAAAACTTTTTTCAAATCCATTGTTTTTTTTAACATTTTTTTCAGAAAACGTTATGATGCTTAAACAAATAAGAATTAGAAAAACTTTCTGAATTATTTATCTGATATGATACAAAACATTGCAGTGTAAAATTTAAAATACTTCTACTTAAATATCCATGAGCTATTTTATTTAAATATCAAAAAAGTCCCCAAAAAGGCTTATTGTTTACCATTACAATTTTAGACGGGTGATTCACTGCTCGTGGCCTCATTTATTCCTGTCGAGGTCTATATATATCTAAAAAAAATTTTGAGTACTAAAAATAAAAATATTTTCATAAACAAGTCAAGTTTTTTAATTATTAAAACCATTTTATAAATAAAAAACAGCACATGTTTCAACTAACTCTAGTCATCTTTAGTTAAAATTAAATATTTAAAATTTGTTAAAATACCTATAAAGGTGTTTAAAAAAAACATGGATTTTGTTTATATCTTGTAATTTTATTTTCAGATTTACTATTGCAGATGTCAATGAATGTTTAGATATAATTGCAAGTGCAAATTCTGAAAAGAGAAGAGATTTAGTGAAGAATGAGATTAAAAAAATGATTCAAAACTGCTGTGCTTTGGAACAGAAGTGGATAATTAGGATTTTACTTAAGGTTGTTTAAATTACACATAAATAACTATACACATTAAAATAAATAAACATAAATAACTATAAACATTAAAATAAATAAACATAAATAATCATACACATTAAAATGTTTTTAGTTGTAATTATTTTTAATTGTCATAATTATTTTTTATTATTATAATTTTATTTTGATATTTAAAAGAATTCTAGAATTCTCAAACCTTTATAAAGATAAATGAAAACAAAATTATAAACTGACCATTATATGTCATTAGTTTTATTTTGCTAAAAATAAAAATAAAAATCTTTTATTTTTAAATAAATTTCACACCTAGTAATGTAATAACAGTATTAGTATACATAAAAATAAATTTAGTATTTAGTTTGATCATTTTAAAACCCAAGAATTGTTTATTGTGAATGAATAGTGACATCAATATTTTTACTAAAATATTTCTTATATTTACTTTTGAAAAGTTTGAGAGGCATCAATTACAATTTTTTTATTTATGAATTTAATAGATAAATTTCTTCTATAGAAGAATTTTAATATTAAAATATGTTCATTTTAAAGTTAAAAGTATTCTTTATTCTGTAGATAAAAAAATTTCTTGATACAATGTATCATTGTACCATTATTAAATTAATTTTTTAAAAATTAATTTTGCATGCATGTTTAGCACAGTTGCAATGTTGTCAATTTTACGATGTTGAAAAGCAAATGTTTGTTAAACTTCAGTTACAAAGTTAACAAATAGTTTAATGAAGAATAATCAAATTTTAGGAATTTAACAAATAACAAATTGTTTAACAAATAGTACTACTCGTTAAACAAATATTGATTAACTGAATAAAACCAATTAATTTATAACAACATGGGCTTTGTAAAATGACATTATACAAATTCTCAATGAAACTTATTTGTGGATTTGGTTAGTTAAGGTAAGAACTACAGAGAAGTTAATAAGCAGACTGGAATCCCTTTTTGAACAGTCGATAAAACCATAATTTGAATGTAGCTACAACTGATATTGCATGAAAAGGCTGTAAAAGCAAAAACATCTGCTTCCATTGATTAAAACATTTTACAAGTCAAGCAAAACAGATTTGAAGCTTCTCAAAAGATTGCAGACAAAGTTTGAAACTACCACAAAACGATGACTTCAGCTCAAACTATCCAAAATAGAATACCAGCGCAAGTATCAGTTGTCACAGTTGAGTATGTTGCAAACAACACTATTTGACTCTAAGACATGAACAAAAATTATTATTTTCAAAAAAGTGGATATGTTTATCGAGTTCTTGAAGAAATTAATTCGGAGTGATCCAAATTTAACCTTATCTCATCAGTTAGGCATGAGAAGAACAGTAAAACATGGTGGTGGAAATGTCATGATTTGGGGATTAATGTCTTGGCGAAGAGCTGGCAAGTTGATACTCATTGAATCAACTATAAAAGCCAATTTGTATATAGACATTTTTTTTTTTAATTTAAATTCACCTCTGTAAGGCCTTGAAGGTCGCTACAGTTTATGAGGCTACTTCTAGTTCTGGTTACAACCCTCTTTCAACTCTATAACTCCAAAACACAAACCTTGACAAACAAAGCTGCAATGCAGAGAAAAAAGTTGATAATAAAGCAAAGTTTGAATCCCTCTACTTGTTAATTTAGATTTGGAAATAATTTCATTTTTCAACTGGACAATGAAACATACTGCCATAGCAACAAAAGAATATTTTTGGAATAATGATATTATTGTCATGAAATGGCCTTTGCATTGCATTAACCTGTTTTGCAGATCAGATGAGCATTTTTATTGTATAATACCACTAAAATATTTACAACCCAAGGTGTTTTTTTTTAGTTTTTTTGAAAGTTATTCAACTTCTTAAAGTTGAGGGGGCCACTACAGTCTAGAAAGCTACTTTTTTTATTTTTTAACTGTGGTTACAACCCTCTCTCAAACCTTTTTACTTTGAAACACAAATCTTGACAAACATGGTTGCTGTTCAGAGAAACAAGTTGATTGCAAATTCCCTCTACTCTTACCTACAATTGTGTAGTGTTTTCATCGCAGCTAAGGAACCTCACCCACTTAAAAAAAGATTGTATATATGTATATTATATGTGTGAGGTTTTTTTTTTTTTATTGTAAGCAAAAATCCTTTTTTAAAACCAACTTGGCTTCATAAGTTTACCAGTTTCCTTAAATACATACACACAACATTTAACCACTAATTTTTCTGAATCCTGCTTCTTTAAGTTACTTTTATTTTTTTATTATCTTTTTTCTTGTCTAAAAATTTTACCAGTTTTAACTGTTGTATTTTCATACTAATAGTTTAATAAATTTTCAAATTATTTTATATTAAATAAAAATAAATTTTTTTAATTTTTTTTATTTTACAACAGGAAATAAGACTAGGAATGAGTGAAAATACAATACTCCCATTATTTCATCCAGATGCTTTAGAACTCTACAATATCTCTAACAGTCTCCATAAGGTTAGGATTTAAGAATATTGTTTAAAATGTAATTAGATGTAATATTTAAAGTGTAAATATAAGTAATAAATAATATAAATATAATTTTATTAAAAATAAATGTAAATTTAAAAAAAAAATAACCTTTATATCTTGTTACTTTATTCAGGTATGTTTGGATTTACATGATCAGAACATCACACTTAATAAAAAAAATATCATGTTAATGTCACCATTTCGTCCCATGTTGGGCATGCGTTCTACAATTGACAATATTGTAAAAGTCTTAAAGCACAGTGAGTTTTTTATTGAAACAAAAATTGATGGTGAACGCATTCAGTTGCATAAAAATGGTGAACAGTATGCTTACTTCAGCAGAAATGCATATGATTATTCAGAAATATTTGGTTGTACAAAATATAGTGGAACGCTTACCCAATACATCAACATGCTTTTTAAAACTGATATTAAAACATGCATATTGGATGGAGAAATGGTTGTTTATTGTGTGGAAACGAATAGTTTTATGTTAAAAGGATCTAATGTTGATGTTAAAGCACAACTGCCAAGTGGTTTACAACCTTGTTTTGTTGTTTTTGATGTTTTGATGATTAACGACATTGAGCTGGCTAACATTTCATTAAAAGATCGCATAAGCAAGTTAGTTTCAATTTTTGATGTAATGCCAGGTAGAATTGAAGTTGTTGATAGAAAGATTGGCCGAAATAAGTATATTATATTTATTATATTTCATTTTATTTCAGTTCTTTGTTATTTTTATTAATTAAAAAATAAATTTTTTAAAAAAATATTATAAAAATAAATAATATATAAATACATATGAATATTTTATATTATACATAATGCATACATACATATATATCACATATATATTTTTACATATATATTTTTACATACATACATACATACATACATACATTCATACATACATACATACATACATACATACATACATACATACATACATACATACATACATACATACATACATACATACATACATACATACATACATACATACATACATACATACATACATAGGAACCAATACTGACTTATCGGCTCTTCCTAAAACACCGCTTTATTGAATCAGGCATAATTTTAATATAATTCAATTAAATAAACTTTATAGGCTGATATGATAATGTAAACTTTGTTTATGAATTTGTTTTGTGTTTTTATAGTTTAATTTGTGCATTTGTCTCAGGCCAATAAGTTGGTATAATTGAATTTTCAAAAGTATATTTTTCCAATTAACGTTCCAAGGAACTACTTCATAAGTTTTCAAAAATTGGTAATTATCGAATCGATACTATTAAAAGTTTTAATAGAATTTAAAATAAGAAAAGTTTCTTAATAGTAATTAAAAATGATTTTATGATTTATTAAATTTTTTATTTATTATTAATTTTATGCATGTTTTTATTACTTATCTTTATAATGGCCATCACACGTTTTTCAAGAAAGATGAATGAAGAAATGGCTATTTTAACTGAGGAAGGTTGGCATTGGCAGTGCGATGAATAGAGGGCTGGAGGCCTCCCTCCAAAAAAAACTGTTTGGCAGGGCTTTTTAACGCTGAATTCTAAAAACCCTTTACTTGTAACCCTGAGTCCTGAAAACCCATAACCTTGAATTCTGAAAACCTTTCAAAACTTGGTATTACTAAAAAAAAAAAAAAAAAAGCTTCTTCAACTTGAAAAATGATCATTACAATTGTTGGACCCCCTTATTTCGGGGGTTTGGGTTAGGCTAACATTTTTTGTGTTAAAAAGCCTAAATCAAAAGGAACTGTATTTAGGGTGTTAGCATATTGAGGCCTTTTGTTTAAGACCCGCTTTTTATTTAAATGCTAATCAAATATTTGAACAAATCCATAAATATTCAAAGTGATAATCTGATAATGTGTTCGTTTTTTCATCCTGGTATATATACAGAATGCTTACTATGCAACTTATAAATAATAGTTCAAAATTAAAGATCTTTAACAATGCAATGAGTCCATCAACTCTATTATAGAATTACATAAATTCAAGAAAATTTTTTAAAAAGATAAATATTGTCTATGAGCCACCGAGTGTGTTGCAACATCACTGCTCAGAAAAGGCGGCATTGTTATTTTTTGCCTAGGGCGCCAAAAAACCTAGCAACAACCATGCTAGCAACAACCCTTCTAAAACTAGTAACTGACTCTATTTATACAATGGTTACCAGAACAGTAGCTGTGAGGGTTAGGGGGGCCTTAAGCTCCCTTGTAATGTTTAGAATTTTTTTTTTGTTAAAGATAAAACATTTCATTTTATGATATATATTAGATGAAGTAAACATTTATAATTAATCAAACAAGAATGATATTTTTTCCATAAGTAAATTTGAATATATCTAAATATATTTGAACAAGTCTGATGATATTATTTTTGAGTTATTTTTATCCAAACCAAAATCACTGAAAGAAACAAACCAATCAAGAAGCCGATAAACTGGATTTAGTACCAGTGTTGTCTTGTAAAATAGTTAAACGAGTGCAGCAACAATTCAACGAACTGGTTATGTGTCTGCAAAAAAAAAATTATTTGGTAGTTTATAAATTATTAACTCTGACTAAAACTTGATAAATCTAACTAAAAAAGAGCTAACATAGTCAATAACATAAAAAACCATGACTGAAATAAATGAAACAGAACAAAACATACAGACTGTTCAAAATCAAGTTAAAGGACATTAACAGGATTTAACTATGTTAGATAAGCAACAAAGGTATATTTTCTTTACATTAGATCTGCAAAATCTTTTTAATGCCAGGTTCGAAAGTTGAACGAATAAAAGTTGATCAAATTGATTGTCACAGTATCGTTAAAGAGGCAGTGTTTATCACTGTTTTTTGGTCACTGAATAAATTATATCAGTAGTATGCAAATAATTTAGTATAATCAAGCTAACTATTTTATCTCTGAGGAGGGTGCCAAATATTACTAAGAATAATTTTTCTTCTAAAATATGATCTCAATCTGAATCTCAAAAAAATTAAACTCTCATACAAAAAAAAAATACAATAATTGTCTTTCAAGTTGTATTTCATTAAATGACATTTTTATAAAATATTATGGTTATACATATCTTTTGAGAACCAGGTTGACATACTTTTAAAAAATCTTATATTATTAATATTACGAATCCACTAAAAAAACTTACAAGCAAATTATTTAAATGAGGTGTTATTTTATTATGTAAATAATCAGCTAGTACACCACGTTGGATTATGGTCTGAACAACATTGACCTAACGTAGTATGCAAGAATAATATTTTGTGTCCAAAAGCAGATGTTTGGCGAAGTTATACCATGTTATACTCGGCACTTAGATACCTATACAATGCTCGTCATACTGAATGGTCACACATAGTGATATCCTGCGTGCTACTTCTGCTAAATGATTTCTTTTTTTAATTTCTCATACTAATATTTAAATTTCCTAATATTTTCTAGGCAACCAAAAACATTTACTTTCTCTACAAGAGGCAAACTTTAATTTTCAAAATTACTGCCTTATATCTCTTCTACAGTTTATGGTCATGGCTGCCGAAAGGAAAGTTAACGAGGAACATTCCCGTGGGCAAAATTATGTTTTTTTTAAATTTCATGATAATTTTCAATACTTTTCTATATATTTATTTAAACACCCCATAGAGCCCAATGGTCAAATTCAACACAGTGATTCTGAGATCATAAATAGCCTTTATTGCAATAACCATTCATTAATCTTTCTATGCTTATGAACAGTAACACACTTAGCAAATCGTTTACTTTATGTATTCTTGGATTTAATGCTTGTTATTAAATAGTTTTTGATCTCATTTAGAAAAACAGTTTATTCTATAAGGAAAAATTTATTTGAACGGGACACATGCATAGGTGTGTCATTATATATCATTTCATAAGTGCCACATTGTTTATAAGCAAGTTTGGATATTGCATCAATTGTTAGCTAGATAAAAAAATAGTTTTAACAGCAGTTTTCATATGAATAAAGCTTATTTATAGTTATTCTATAGTCTTATACATCTTTTAAAAGCTTTAATTATTTTGCTATGGGAAAAATTGATTGCAAAGTGCCAAATACCTACGTGTGTTAGTAATGTCTAAAACTTGACACCAAACGTAAACAAATGCGTACAAAATATAATTAATAACTGTCAATTATAAGGAAGGTTTGGTAGTGCATCAAAATGAGTGGCATAAATAAAAAATGTTTTAACAACAGTTTTCCTAAATATTTTTAAATGATCAAAGCTTTTTTATAGTTAGCCTATAGCCTTCAACCTCTTTTAGAAGTTTTGGATTATTTTCAAACGGGAAAAATTGATTGCAAAGTGCCAAATACTACTTACGTGTGTCAGTAATGCATAAAAATTGACACCAAACGTAAACAAATGCATAAAAAATATAATTAATAACTGTCGTTTATAAGCGAGATTCGGTAGTGCATCAAAATGAGTGGCATAAATAAAAAATGTTTTAACAACAGTTTTCCTAAATATTTTCAAATGATCAAAGCTCTTTTATAGTTAACCTATAGCCTTCAACCTCTTTTAGAAGTTTTGGATTATTTTCAAACGGGAAAAAAGGATTGCAAAGTGCCACATACCTACATGTGTCAGTAACGGATAAAAATTGATACCAAACGTAAACTAACGCGTACGAAGTATAGTTGATAACAATCGTTTATAAGCGAGGTTCGGTAATGCATCAAAATGAGTGGCATAAATAAAAAATGTTTTAACAACAGTTTTCCTAAATATTTTCAAATGATCAAAGCTCTTTTATAGATAGCCTACAGCCTTCAACCTCTTTTAGAAGTTTGAATTATTTTCAAACGTGAAAAATTAATTGCAAAGTACCACATACCCATGTGTGTTAGTAATATATCAAAATGAAAACGCGTACAAAATAGAGTTAATAACAACCGTATTTAAGCAAGGTTTGGTAATGCATCGAAATTGTTAGTTTAATAAAAAGTAATTCTAACAGTAGTTTTTGTAATTATTTTCAAATGAATAAAGCTCTATGATAGTTAGCCTATGGCTTTTAGCCTCATTAAGAAGTTTTGATTATTTTTAAACGCGAAAAATTAATCACAAATTAACACGTGCATACATATGTCAGTAATGCATAAAAATTGACGCCAAGCGTAAACTAACACGTACAAAATATAGTTGATAACAACCGTTTATAAGCAAGGTTCAGTAATGCATCGAAATTGCTAGTTTAATAAAAAAAAGTTCTAACAGTAGCTTTTGTAATTATTTACAAATAAATAAAGCTCAATATTTAGTCTATGACCTTCAACCTCATTTACAAGTTTTAATTATTTTCATACGTGAAAAATTCTTTGCATAGTGTCGTATACCTGCGTGTGTCAGTAATGGATAAAAATTGATACTAAACATAAACTAACTATAATTGATAACAATCGTTTATAAGCGAGGTTCGGTAATGCATTAAAATGAGATGCTTAACAAAAAATTGGTTTAACAGCAGTTTTTTTAAATATTTTCAAATGAATAAAGGACCCATCAATAAAGTACAAACGCAGGTATGGGGGGAGGAGGTTACCTAAAAGCGTACAAGAGGTGGGAAGTTGTTGAAGACAGTGAGTATATACGCAGTTTGACTATCTTTTCTAAACTTTTTTTTTTTCTTTAAAAATAA